TAAAAACACGAGGTTACGTTATAAAACAGAAAAATTGGAAGAGAAAAAAATGAGGGAAAAAGAATGACTCAGAGAGGAACTAAAGAGTGGACAATCAGGGAGATGCTCACGTCGATGCGGTCGTCGCCTTCTTCGACTTTCTCGATAAAACAGAATGCGTGGCCGCTGGTCAGCTTGAGCTTCGTGCCAAGGCAGTCCTCCCACTTGAGGTGGGTGTTGACGTAGGCTTCAAAGCGTGAGACAGCAGCGATCGTGTAAAGGAAAAAGTGATGGATGTGAGAAAATTGTGTGTGCATGGAAAATGATTGTGTGAACAAACTTAGTGTGAGGCACGATGATCGAAAAGGTTCAATAATAGCCAGGAGAGGCTACCTGGAGAAGGATTGGACGAAAACCGTGGAGGAGGTGCAAGACAGGCATAGAGACTCATGCAAATGTGGAAGTCCATAATGGTGTGGGAACGCGCATAGAACGAAAGGTTCACGGAGAGAAAAAGCCACAACACACACCGAGCAATAGAACAACCAAAAAAGAAAAACCAAAGACACAACGCACCGACTTTGCCGGACTTCGTCTTCTCCGCCTGCGGGTTCGGGACTCCCAAGCACACGGCGCCGGGCTTGATGTCCGTAAGGCAAGTCGCGCAGGGCGACGGGATCGAGAGTACCAATATCTTGTACTTGCAGCCTTGTGAGGAATTCTCACAGCCGCCGAACGTTGAACAGCGCCGGGTGACTTTAGCTCCGTCACACTCTGGGCGAACGCAATAACCCAACACCTCACCGAGAACGTAGTCGGACCCAGGCTTGCGCTTGGGGGCAGGAGACGAGTTGAAAATGTTGCGCGATGACATGAAGCTTGCAGAGGTAGGAAAGATGCAGGCACTGGTAGAAGTGGGAGGTGTAGGGGAGTGGGAGGTGTAGGGGAGTGAGAGGTGTGGGGGGGAGCGCGACGTGCGAATCGAATTTTAGGGCTCCAGAGCTATATTACGCAATAACCCAACACCTCACCGAGAACGTAGTCGGACCCAGGCTTGCGCTTGGGGGCAGGAGACGAGTTGAAATGTTGCGCGATGACATGAAGCTTGCAGAGGTAGGAAAGATGCAGGCACTGGTAGAAGTGGGAGGTGTAGGGGAGTGAGAGGTGTGGGGGGGAGCGCGACGTGCGAATCGAATTTTAGGGCTCCAGAGCTCCAAGTATATATTTGTGTTCCGAGACGAAGAGACTTGAAAGAAATCGTTCGTTCCTAAATCCAAGTGAAAAATGATGGGAGAAATGCTGGTCTGTCAGGGCTCGAGAAAACCGATCTTTGAACGGAGAGCGGCCCGCTTTATTCCTTTATCGGATGCGAGGACACATAGAGAACGAACCGAAAGCAGACAGAATGCTGGGCGTGCAGAAATGAGCTGCAGACAGACGGAGAGCGAAGAGAACGAACCGAGAGCAGACAGAGTGCTGGTGCTGGTCGGAGCGGCGGCGGAGCGGAAACATGCCCAGAAGCGGAAAGACAGAATGAACTCTAAATCCAAGTGAAAAATGATGGGAGAAATGCTGGTCTGTCAGGGCTCGAGACAACCGATCTTTGAACGGAGAGCGGCCCGCTGGAAATGGGAAATACTCGAAAGTTACGCCGAACACAAATGATAGAACTGTTACATATAGGCATACTTCCTTCCATGTGAAAAAGTAGACATGAGCATGTACTTGCACAAACGTTCCCCATACGGGCAGCGGCCTCGTCTGCCAGTGTGTTACCTCAGGAATGTTTGCAGTTGGGTTGTGGGTGTTTTGGACATCACCACAATAATATGCATAGAGTCGTCGGTAAAAGGGTGTTGTGACAATGGCCTTCGACCCTCTTATGTACGAGCCCCTCTTGTATCAGAGCCCCTCTTATATCGGCACCCCGTGTTGTACCGGAATGAGGGGGCTACAGCAGTAGCGTATAGCGGGTCGAGTCCATGACGACCGATTTCGACCCTCTCACTCACGTCGCAGCCACGGCTGTATGGAAGCGAGGGAGAAGAGACGGACTCGTCCTATTATGCCGATCAGATGATTCACACGAACGAGCGTTTTGCCCTCCCTTTACTGCACACCAGCAGCAGCCTCCTCTTCGCCGTGGCACCGGCCATCAACCATCAACCACGAACGAACATCATGCGCATGTCTGCGCCGATCGCCCACAGGCGTACAGCCTAGGTCTTACGGTGCTTTCCGGCACGCCGCCAGCCACGGTGTGTCGACAACCAAAATGACTATTCTGTGTGTTTGCTCTTGGATACCATGGGAAAAATGAATGAGTTTCCTGTGATAGCAAGTCCCAACTTTGATTATGACTCGCAATTGTTTCTCCATCGCGTTTCCGGTCGGCGGCCTGCGCACAATCACCACCAGGAACTGGCACGGACGGCATCAGCAGCGAGGGACCAGCACAAGACGGAGACGAACGTGCTGGGGCCACCCCACCTCCTCGTGGAGCGGCTGCGTGGACACCACGCGCCGTTTCGGGATAGTAAACAAGTTAGAGATTGGTCTGGATCTGCTTCGGCAGGGAGGTTGTCATTAGTGTTAGGGTTAGGGTTAGGGTTAGGGTTAGAGCTCCCGGGTGGAGGATACCATGGCACGCAGGCTTGATGCGAGAGCGGCGACATTCACCCCTTCGTTTGGTGGGTCGCCATCCCCGCAAGAGCGGCAAGGGGCCGGTGCTTCCGCGAAAAGCGGTGCAGGCCAGGTGCGTTCGTTCGGTGTGTGTTTTGGATGCCTTGGTCCATCCGATGTGTGTAGATCAATCACCCTGTGTCAACCGGCTCGCCGATGCGATTTGCTGGATTTGATTTGGCAGTGGAAGCTGATTGCGTTAGTTTGATCAAGTCTAGCATCGCCCTGGCTTGTCGCACACACCACAGACTTGCCAGGCGTTGTTCCAACGACACGCGTTGGGCCTCATACCTCAACTATCGCCCGAGTGGACGAGCTTCACCGCAGGGTAATTGCTGTAAACACACACCGCCGAGCGAAAGTAGTCGAATGGACAGGACGTGCCATCCACGAGCACAGGAACACCCGTCAGACACGCCTCAGACTCAAGTCGAGCAACATTAGAAAGAGGTTCAGAAGCGCCTGTGGTGTAGAGTGCAGTTAGCACCACCACCCACGAGTCTTGAGAGTTGAGAAATTCAGGCTCAAACAGGGATAAGTTTAAGAAATTGACCATGGCAACAGACGCCCAGATTAGGAACCTACACTAATCCTATATATAGTCCATGTCAGGTTTCACGCCACAAGACACAAAACCCGGGCACGGGCACAACATAAGAGGTTTTTAGGTGGTGCTATAATAGCGCTTTCTGTAATCGCGCGAGTAGAGTGCAAAGATTGCAAGTTGCATTGAAGCTGATTCTGGTACAGCGCCAAGCACGAAGATGAGTGGACCCCTAAAGGAATAATATTTAAAGACTCGAAAGAACGTGGGCACGCAGCAGGCATCCTACCCGTGCCTAGCCATCCTCGAGGCTCAGAAAGAGCACTAGTGCAAGAAGACATCGCTGGCTTTTCGCGAGAAGCCTAAGCCACACATGCCCCCAAGAGGCGGAGAGATGGTAACCCCTCTGGACCGATTTATTTCTCCAGAACCAAGATGGCGCCTGCCAACACCAACAGTGGTGGTTTTGGAACCATGTCGTCGAGGGCTTTCCGTAAATTTCCTTGGTTGTGGAAGAATTGCGCTTTGAAAGCTGGTCTAGGGGGGGTGCCATCTCTCCGACTCATAAGGAAAATACCACGGTACGGCATACGGTACGGTACAGACAATGTTGGTCGTGGAACAATTGCGCTTTGAAAGCTGGTCTGGGGGGGGTGCCATCTCTCTCTCTCCGCTTCCTCTTTCTTTCGGTGTGGACAAGGACAAGGATGACCCGTATTTTGCGCCGACCGCCTAGACAGACAAAGACTTGCCGCGACCTTTTTCATGGACGAAGAATGCCTCTTTCTTGACGATACTGCTGTACGATAAGCGCGTTCTTTTGACGGCTTTTTATTCTCGTGCTGTGACGGTTACACGTGCCGGAAAAATCCTACCAGGCCCAGAGGACCCCTTCCCCGCCGTCAGAGCCAGTCAACAGCGGTAATGACGTCAGTGGCACTAACACCGCCAACAGCAGTGGCAACCAGCCACGGGTACCAACATCACTTCAGCAGCAGCAGCAGCAGCAGCAGCAGCAGGCGGGCGGAGGGGGCCGGCGTGGTGGAGACGGTGGTACCACTAGGCGTCGGAGAGGAGGAGGAGGTGGAGGAGGAGGAGGAGGAGGAGGAGGAGGAGGAGGAGGAGGGGGATCATCCTTTCCTCCTGCAGCAGACGATGGAACCGTCGCCGATATGGCGGCCGAGGCTACTACTACTACGCCGGTCCCCGATCGACGCAACAGCGCCAAGGCCAGGACGAGCAGCACCGCAAGGGGCTCCGTGAATAGATCTGCGGGTGCCGCCCCGCCCAGCGGTGGCAGTAGACCAGATCCTAGTCACAACACACCTGCCGCTTCGGGGAGCGCTAATGGCAAAGGCCGAGTGAAGAACGGGGCGGGGGGCAGCAGCAGCAGCAGCTCTACTAGGGCGAACGCCGCCAAGGGGGGGTACGCGACCAAGAACGGCGGCGCGGTCAGGGGGGGCAGTAGCAAGGGCGGCAACGCGAACCACCTCTTGAACTTTCAGTTCCAGCCTATAGCGAACGTGGCCGCGGAGGGTGGAGGAGGGAGCAGGACTCGAAGGGGGGGCGGAGGCGGGGGGGGCTCCGGCAGAAGCAAGGGTGGGGGGGGGGTGTGGGGAGGCGGTGCAACGCGCGGGCCAATGAGCAAGGAGCAGTTTCTGCAGGTAGGTGCTGTTCTTCTTTCTCCCTCAACTTCTTGTCAGCCATATATATATTTGTTTTCTGCATTTTTTTTTTGCAAGCTGTGAGGTCAAGTAGCCGTGCAAAATATTTCGCCTGCCTTTTTGTTTGTCTCAACCGCTTGTGATGATCGTCTACAGCACACAAGCTGGCAGGGCAGGATGTCAACTCACCGAACTCTTCGGGGTCCGAAGATCGTCCCATCCTTTTCGCCTGATTGTTGCACTGTGCAGCCTCCGCAGTCAACTCTTCTAATATGTACCAGTACCAATTTAACCCGGTAGCGGTTTCATCGTGTTGCTTTGACTCCCCAGGACAAACGAAGATGCCATGCGTAGCTGTTTGGTGTTGCTTCAACACCCCGTGAATCTGGACAAAACAAGCAGCGTATTTTGTGTCTCCACATCACCGACCAAAACCGTCCTGTCTGCCCTGCCCTGCAGGCGAACTTCCACTTCCTCCTCCACAATCCAGCCTGGTCAGCGACGACAACGACAGGGGACGCTCGGTCCGCGTCCCCGGGTCTCCAGGAGGCTTTCTTCGACCCCGACGTGCTGGTGGACTGGGACACCGTTGACACCGTGCGGTTGTTTCGACGGGTTTCCAGGCGAAAGCAGGCGGTATCCCCCCCCCCGGCGGTAAAGGTCAAGCCGAACCCCACCCCGCCCGCAACCGGTACACCGCCACCACCCCAGGGGACTAGCGATGCGTCGGGATGTTTGTCCGGTGCTGCTACTGCTGCTGCCCCGAAGGAGGAAGGGGGCCCCGCAGAGCGGGAGGGGGTACCCCCAGGGTTCAAAGGGCTGACAGTCTTGCGTGCTGCTGCGGAGGAAGGGGTATCATGGGGCAGCACCAGCAGCAGCAGCGGGAAGAAACCTACCGCCGCCGCCGCCGCCGCCGCCGCCGCCGCCACCGCCGCTCGCGAAGCCTCAGCGGCGGCGGAGTCACCGTTGGCGTTGGCGATGTCCGATGGGGTTCAGTCGAGGGTAGCCTCGCCCAGCGGCGACGGTGCTGCTGATGACGACGGTACACAAGAGGATGAGACGGGGGAAGAGGGAGATTGGACGTGCCCGATTTGTCTGGGGGTGCCGGTGGCCCCTAGGGTGACCAAGTGCGGACACGGGCCTTTCTGCCTGGTGTGCATCCTGAGGCACTTGGACGGCGAGGCTTCCGCGAGATGCCCGCTGTGTTTCGACAAGATGCAAAGGTATGAAGACGGAGGCTCTTTTGTGTGTGTGTGTAGTGTGTAGTGGGTACTGTGCGGCAGTGTGGCGAGGGAGTAAAAGGTGATGCCGTCATGTGCTGTTTTGTTGAGAATCGACCGCGTAAGTCAAGTGCTAGACTATTATAGTACGGACAGAAGAAGGTACAGGGTAGAGAGAAAGAACGGTTTGTTTTCGTGAAGAGAACAGCAACTACAACAACAACAACAACAACATGCTATAATACCGTACTCGACGAGAAGATGATGCTAAAGCACTGATGGGTTATGTAGAATGGAGACAGAAAAGGACGGAACCTTTCCCACCGCTAGCGCTTTTTTGTGACGCACTGTGAAGACAAAATATTGGACAAGTCGGGGCCAACTCTCACTTATCGAAAATTATGAAATTGCACCTGGTATGACGGAGTTCTAAGTCTGGCATATGTTTCAGGATTGTCATGGTGGCTGTTGTGGTGATCGTTAGCTTTGTTCATATGCATATACGGAGGACACGTCTTGTAGACGGTCCCTGTGCTAAGCTTGCGACGGCCACCGTCTAAAACGTACATACACAATATGACACACCCCGATCGTAACATTTTGGTTGTGATAATTATCACTGGGTGTGGAGCTGTGTGGGGTATCGTTTCTCACCCCGTAGTTTTTGTGTTTAAGGCCATGTTGAACACGGTGTCCACAATCAACGACCATACATTCATTCGTCGCTTCATCCGCGCTTGGGGTTGAGGGCCTTGAGAAAGACCCGGGTTACCCGGAAAACTGCTTTTTTTCTCTCGCAATTCCCCAAGATTTGGTTATTGTACCGTCTACAGTACGGAGACCGTTTTCTTTCTGTATTCCTCACGCTGCTGCGCGTTTGGCGTTGCAGTGAGGGTCCCCGAATACGTAGGTCTGTGTGAACAAGGCGGTCGCCCCATAAAAGGCAGGTGAAACGGCGGCATAGACGGAATAAATCAAGTCATTCTACAGACTAAATGCCCCTTCCTTGTTAGGCGCCCATTATCAGCTGCCCCCCCCACCGCTCCTCTGCCCCGTGTTCTTGTTGGCTCCCTTCCTACCATGCTTCGCGCAGGAACCAGTTGCGCCGCGCCGCCTGCCAGGACGTGCGCCCCTACGTCCCGGGAGGTACCGCCAGCCTCCTCCTCCTGAGGCGAAAAAGATCCTCCCTCGTGCCCGTACAAAGCGCATCTGACAAGGGGACAGCATCTGGCGTCCCCGGGGGAGCAACGGCTAGTATTCCGGGGGGGGGTAGTGGCGGCGGGGGGGCCGTGGACGAGGGCTGGGCGGCGGCGGGGGGCGTTTGTCCCGCGGAGGGTGATGGGTCGGAGCGATTTTCGAGGCTCGTGAGGGCTGCGCCCAGGTGATGATGATAACTCCCGCCTCGTGCCGTCCTCGCTTTAAAGGCGCCAAGGTTAGGGACACTCCACGGTTTGTGGACACCATTATTTTCAGCAGCATAGTGGTGCTTTTGGGTAGTTGGCTTGTGATAACGGATGACGTTCGCGTCAGTTGGACAAGTACCAGTACGGATTTAGTGAGCGGAGACCGGAACGGTTTTTTGTGTGGAGACAACAGTAACAACAACGGCAATGGTGCCGCGCAGAATGTAAGGGCAGCTGAAGGGGGGTACAACTTTTTCAAGGCGACTTCCCCGCTTTTGCGAACACTGTTTTCGGATAAAAACCGCAATACATAGTGTACGGTGTCCTCAGAGCGGGGGGCGACCGCTGTGTGGGTGCGGCTCTGTCGTTATTTTCTGGTTTTGTCATCATCGAAGCGACGGTGGTCGAGGTACCGCGGGCCGAGCTCTTCTGTTTTTTGTGCGTTACGTTGGACTACGGCGGTCTTGGCGTCTCGCGTTGAAAAATGGTCTCTCCTTTCTTGGGAGAAAATGAGGAGTACTAGAGTGCACTTCAGCTCACCAGCGTCGGCGTCTCCCATCCACTAAATAGGTTGTGGATGCTCGTAAATCTTACGACGTGATAGACGAGCATACCGTGGGTTGAGTTAAGATCCCACACACCCCGGACCGATCTTTGTCAAGCTCAAACTCTCCGACACAACCAACGTTCCATAATCGAATGATGTTGCGTTTCGGAAAACTCCCGATGAGACGGCGGTTCCAACACCGCCGTTTTCCGCCCCGAAGCTAATCTTGCTAACGGTGTAATCGAGCTTTCGAGAATCGGTCATGGAAGGGGCATGGTTCTCACGATTGCAACCACGGTACTGTAGCAGGGAATTATGTTCCCTTTTCTGACGACCCCCTCCGCCTGCTCTCCATGTCCCACCCAGCACGCTTCGAGATCTGGCGGCCGCCGAGCAAATGGCGCTACTCTCCTTCCGGCATAGCTCTATCGCGTCCGGGGAAACGGAGTGGGTGCCCTACATCAGCCAGGCGCAAGCCTTGGTCAAGGCCCAGTTAGATCGCTTTGCAGGCGTGCCTCCGACGACCATCACTGCTAAGACTGCTACCAGCGGCCTGAAGCCTCAAGAACGGACGGCGGTAGGGCGAGGGGGGCTCGTGGCATCGGGTAGCCCGGCGGTTGACGCTACCCCCCCAGGAACCAAGAGTATTTCCGCGGAGACCCCGCCACATGGTGGTGGTGGTGGTGTTAGTGGTGGTGGCAGGAGAGTTGATAGTGCTCAGCGGGTTGAGGCTGATTCTTCTTCCCCTGTGGGACTGGAAAATGGCGCTGGGACTACTGTCGGACGGGGCTCCGGTGGATCATCTAGCGGGTCATTGGTGGTAGCACCAGAGGCCGCCCAACCAAGCGCGAAAGGAAGCAGCAGCAGCGACAAACCGTCGCTCGGTACGAGGTCTAGCAGCGCGGCCGCTGGTGCTCACGGGGGAGGGGGCGGCGGAGGCGGGGAGGGAGGCGGCGGGCCGTTCAGGTTCTTTCAGTCTGTTGACGGGCAGAAGGCGTTCTTGCACCCCTTGGACATGCGACAGCTGCTGGAGGATGCGGAGAGGGGACTGCCGCTTCCCCCAAGGATTGACGCAAAGGTGGGTATATGATGCACAGCATGCACAAGATTGACAAAACGTCTGCAGCCCTCTGGTTTGGTTTAGTGCAGCGGACGCTTCTCTCGGTGTTCAAAGTCTCTCTTGGGGCATGCTTGTAAGCCTCAGCCTTAGCCTCCGCATGCATGTCAATGGCACGAGCAGTCTGCTGGGTGCACTTATTGGTTCGGTTGAAGGGCAAATGCGTACTCTAACTCTTAAGTAAAGGGTGTAACGTGCGTCGCCGTGTGCAAGGAAGCTGTTGATGGCTTGGTGTTCCTCGATTATCACGCCTGAACCCTTAGTTTGCTTGTAAACCGGACGCTCCTTCCAATTTCGTCTCTCTTGGGGAATGCTGCTGTTCGGGACACTCTTTGCCGCTCTGTACAGCGTTTACTTCACTCGTCATGCCGCGGGTTCGGGAGTGTGTTGTGGTGGCGTGAAGAAGATCTCTGCTCTGGAATGGCCGCCGGACAACGCCTGAAACCGTTTTTTTTTGTGCTGTATTTTGGCCGCTGGAAGAGGCCTGAAGCCGTTGTTCTGAGAATGTGCGGCTCACCTTGCCGTGCGGACGAGCTGCTGTCAAACCAGAAGCACAGTTTATTTTCCCACGAAAAACGATACCTGTGTGACACTGATTTGCCGGACGAACACCTCTGCAAGCCCGGGAAACGTACGGCGTCTTAACGATGCTCCCTTGCGTTGTTTTGAAGGTGCTGGAGGTGGAGACGGTCAAGCTTACGCCGGAGCTGAGAAAGCGGCTGCCGTTTCTGGGCCACCTTCCCATCCACTGCGACATCAGCTTTCTGGAGGTGGACATGTTGGACCTGGTGTCTGACGAGACGAGCCGCAAGTTTCGCGAAGGTGATCGTTCTCTCCCTCTCCCTGTCACAGCAGCTGCTGCTAGCTGTTGTTGTTGTTCTTTTGTTATTGTTTGCTCTTGTATTTTCTGTTGTTGGTGCTGCTGCTGGTGTTTTGTTTGCTTCTATCGTTTCTGCTGCTTTTGTTGTATGCTTCTGCCGTTTCTGTCGCTGATGTTGCGTTGGTGTGGTTGTCGTTGCTGATGCTGCTGCTGCTGATGTTGTGGGTGTTTGCTTCTTTCGTTTCTGTTGTTGCTGCTGCTGTTGCATCTACTGTTGGTGTTCGGTTGTTTGCGTCTACTAATTTTCACTTTTTCGCGTGTATTGTGTCGTTGTTGCTCACGTTTTTGTTCTGATTTCGTTCTCCGCTTCCCGCCCCCAATGGCAGATACTCAAAAGCGAGAGCGAAAGCGTCGAAGCAGGGTGGCGCAGGAGGCGAGGTTAAAGAAGGAGGAAGCCCGCCTGGAACGAGACCGCGCGGACCGAATAGCGGCCATGCGAGCCTTCACGGTAGACCTGCAGGTGAGCCAGACTCGCGGAGGACAGACGCATTGAGCTTTTGGTTTTGTCGGCAACGCGCGCGGCGCTACTGCTGTGTGGTGCAGCCTGTTGTGCCAAGGATTCGCACCCGGCGACAGCAGCCATGCGAGCTTTCGCCATAGACCCGCTTTTGTCGTTAGTTTTCAGCAACGCACGCAGTGCTGCCGCCGCCGCTGCTTCTGCTGCTGCTGCTGCTGCTGTGCGTGTTTTTTTGGGCGAGGTTCCGATAGTAGTGTTGCCTGGCGGACGAAGGATTTGCTCCTGTCGACAATTTGACGGCTGTGCGAGTGTTTGTCGTTAACGTACAGCTACGAGAAAAGGGTTGGTACGAGAACATGATACCACTACTGTCGTTAGCGTACTGGCGATCGCACGGCTGGCGCAAAGTGTAGAGCGGGACGATACGTACGTATGCGTTTACGCGAAAGAGGTAGAAACGTCCAGCGATTGCTGCCGTCCGACTAAACTGGCTGTGGGATAGTATTCCAACACAGCTGTTTTCGTTTGTGTGCGCCTATGTAGAACGGTCGAATCGTGCACCCGACTGGCCCGTCCTCGTGCCCCTTTCACATCCATGTATGCCGGCATCGACCCTTCCCCACCTTGAAGGCATTGATTGACCCTTGCCCCTACACTTCCGCCGTGCACGCGGCCCTTGCTTTGACCACACGCACCGTTGTTTCTCGGGACACCTTAACCTCAACCTTCACCTTCTCTGCAGGGGCCCACCCCAGGCGGAGCGGAGGAACCGCCGCGACAATCACCTCCGCCGCCGCCGTCGAACCCAAACGCCTCTTCCTCCGAAGGTAGCGGTGACGGAGCGGCAGACAGCGTCCATCATGCCGCCACGACGATCGTTGTGGGAGGAGGCGATGCCAGCAGCGCGCCATCGAGCAGCGCCGGCTTGGGGGGAGTTGCTACCGACGAAACCGCCGTCGCCGCTGGCGTGTCTTCCGCGGGGGCGGGGGGCTGGTCGTTCGCCAGGGTAACTGCCATGAACGGCCACTTCCCGACCCTCAAACCAGACGCTGGTTCTAGTGGTAGCGGCTCCGTCGGCAATAACGCCGCGGCGGGGGCCTGGGGCGGTGCCGCCTCTGTTACAAGCACCGGTAGTGTCCCCGTGGGCGGAAGTAGCGCCGGGGGTGTGTGGGGCGGAAGGGGGAACGGGCTGCTCTCCAGCGGGGCAGCGGCATTGCCGACTACTGCTGTGCGAGAGAACAGGGTGGTGGTGGTGGAGGGGGAAGGGGCAGCCGGTCCCGGTGGTGGGGGGAAGAAGAAAGGGCGTAAGGGGAAAGCGGTGTCCTTGTTCTCAAACGCCGGCGTCAGGGGCGGATCGCGGTAGCCGGCGGGGTGTCGCACAATCGCACGAGGGCGGTCGGGGGGGAGGGGGGGGGCTCCACTGACAACATGCGAGGTTAGTAACGCTTCTCCTTGGTCGGGGGGAAGAGCGATTTTGCGTCCAGCGACACCCCTCTCTGTCTGTGTCCACAAGCTGGTCTCGGTGATCCTGGTTCTAGCGTAGAATACCTTTGTGAGGCGGCTGTAGACATGGCGAGCGATATGACGTCGCTCGCGATGGGTAGCATTAGTACATGTTCACCGGTTACCTTCGTTTTCGAGCGCTGATGCAGCAGGAGCCTCACATGAGATGGCATGGCCGAGGAGGGCATTGGCTTCACCTACATTAGAGGTTGAACCCCCCTCCCCCCATCCATGTAGTAGGGTTGTTCCTCACCCGCCTGAGGCGTTATGTTAGCCTTCACCTAAGTAGGGGTTGACCCCCCCCCCTTGTTGCTAGCTAGCCGCCGGGAAGGAAAGGGTGTTCCTTTGCCCGCCTGAGGCGTTTTGCTGTGCCCCCTCGGAGGTTGTTCCACCGCAGGTAGCCGGGCGTGCACGGGTCCAAGAACGTTATGAAGGACGCTCCGTGCATGGCTAACGGTGAATCCGCGTTGCCGTTGGATATTTTCTGTGTGCCCCGCGGAGAGAAGTAACTAAAACTAGCAGCCAGCTGTTTGGAGAACAGGGCAAACACATGTACAGCGGCTGCTTGAAGCGGGAGAAGGTTGCCAAACCAACGGGACGCTTATTTTATTATTTTGACTTCCACGATTGGAGAAAACCAACTACGTTGGCCGTTGGCCGCGTTGCCGTAGCTTACGCCGTTGCAATGACCGGCGGCGCGCGATAGCCGATGGGCGGCGCAAGGGCTGAGGGCGGCCGTGGGAAGCAAACGGCTCGTCGTGGGAGTTAATTCCATCAGGATGGAGCATGTGCAAAAGCTTTCGACCGATCGCCATAACGAATGTTCCTCGTTCAGACCTCCGGCTGTTGGTGTATCCGTAAACAAACCTCCAACACACCACCACCACCAAGTGTTTCTCCAGGAATCAATGGTGGCGAATACTACAGCAGCAGCAGTAGCAGCCTACCGCAGTCGTCTACAAGAGAGCCTCCGTTTCGCCGGAACCCCGTCTACCGGACGGATGAGAGAGGCAAACATAAGTCAGGGTCCGTCGTCCTCTCTCATCGACCTGTCCCATGTCCCATCCAAGCTTCAGATAGATAGATAGATAGATAGATAGATAAGCACCAGCACAACAACAATCATGCATTTCTGTACCCAATCCCTTGTGACGCGATTCATTCGTGTGAGCTACGTTGCTGCGAAAGTTACCCACATACAGCCGCTTTTAGTTGACAGGACGTCCCTTCCACCGAATGTATGTACCCGATGATTCGTCAAACCAGAGGGAAAAGAACGCCAGACGGGTAGGTGTTCAAGCCGTCTACCGTGGCAATCACGAATCACAAGCACGGAATTCCGAAAGAGGATGGTATGGAATCCATCCCACCGACACACGGTACAACCAGGAGACGAACGGCAGTCCGTAACAACTCAAGCTATCGCCTGAGAGCAAAAACAAGCGCCAAGTAAGCACCACGTAGGGAGGGGTGGTCGGTGGTGCCGTTCGGGCAGGGGAAGCGTGGCATACGTCTCGATGCTGACGGGAGAGAGCCAGCTCCAAGATCACGATTGATTGTCATGTACATACCTAGTCGGGGGGGCGAAAATCGACTGATCGATGTCCATTACGTAGAACTGTCACAGAAACAAACATAGACTGTTTGTACAAGATCTTCGTCCTGGAGTGGTACGTCCAAGTCGCTGGAAGGGGATGTCGAGTCTTTCCTTTCCACGCCCTGCACTCTTTCGTTTGAGTGGTCTCGACAACAAGCAGCGTCGTCTTGTTGCCGGCATCCAACAAATGACAAGGCTCATTACGCTTGGCTCCCGAGTGTACTTGACTTTTTTGGTGCTTTCTTGGTGCTTCAAGGCCTAATTCACCCCACGCTTGCTTGCGAAGCTTCCAATTGTAGCTGTTGGGCCCATCGTTTGCCTGACCAATGACCGATCGAAGCCGACAAGCAACAAGCCAATCACAATCAACCAAGAGAGGGACTGCCACAAACGTGACGTCAACAATACGAAAAAAGAAACTCAACACAACCAATCAACAAACTTGTCAGAAATTGATGATAACGCCAGCAACATACTCCTTGACAACCCAAACAACACAATCAATCTTTGCACAAAAACTTCGACAATTCACGATCAAAGCATTTCGCGACGTCGATAATGACAAATTCCTTCTTTAACCGACCTCCACAAACAATCTATGAAAGTACATCAGCATTTCATAACAAAGAAATTCACGACATCAGTCAACAGACCGTATGTTGTACAATCCCCCAACCGACAAAACCGTGGACCCATGAATCCATCCAAAACAGAGCGACTTCCCTTTTCACCGGGAATCTATCATTCTCCGTTCTACCATCTCCCCCCCCTCTTCGAAGCTCCTTCGTGCCAGCCCGCCTACTTTGCGGCACTGCTCTTGAGCTTGGCCTGCTGTTGCTGCTGCTCCCTGTGCGAAGTCGTCATCAAATGCCGCAGGTGTGCATTACGTCTTCTCCTGTGCTCGCTCCTGCACAACGAAAAAAAATCACAAAAAAAAACACGTTACTTCATTGGTCAGCCGGTTGGAGCGTCGATGCTAACTGCTTTTAGTAACACGTAGATGCTAACTAAGAACACTCACGCACACAGCAAACCAAGGTGGTGAGTGTGGACGTCGTGGAGGGGGCGTTGCAGATGGGAATCGTGGGGGGGGGGGGTACTCATAGTCATGCATGCCGTAGTCGTTAGACCATTGACCTCGCATCCCTACAAAGCCGGGACGGAGCACGCCGGGTTCTCACCGGGCCAGGCTCTCACATCACCAAGCGCGAAGGGTCGTGAGGTATTCGGCGAGTCGCATGAAGGGTGCGCAGCATCCTGCTAAGGGTGTTCGGCGTCTTGTGCTTACTTCCTTGCGTACGGATGACAGCTGCGTATGGCTTAATTTATTTTCTGGTGCTTTCACTTCCATAGACAGTTGTAAGCACTTTGTAACTGCCTCGAGAGTGTTTGACCAATTTAACATAACGTGGTGCGATCATCCCCCTTGCGCGGAGTGAGGGTTCTCGACCCCGCACCACATAACCTGCTCAACCACCATTCATGGTTACGGCAAAAAAAAAAAGCGAAACCTGGTTGTCGAGCTCACGAAGTGATCGGCTTGTTTTACAACATCGCTGCCAAGCGACGAAAACCCAACCCCGATGGCAAACACCGGGGGGGGGGGGGGGGGGGATCGTGGGGGGGTATGAAATTACTGCGAAAGTGTGAGTAATCGCACACACACACCCTCGACAGGATTTCGTCTGTTGCTCTGCTACCGCAATCAATCTGCAGCACCGACAAAGGCTCGTGTTCCTGTCGCTTGCTACGATACTCTCGAATCATGCACCTGACGTATATGGTCTCGGCTTGCCATCGATATCTGCAACAATCTCGCATGCATCCAGAGTCAATCCGCAAAAACACATACAACTCCCGTTGATTTCAGCAATAATCTGGAATCATGCATCTCACGGTTGGGGCTAGAGCAAGACTTAGGCTGGGGTCAGGGTTAGCTCGCATCGTGTGTCTTGCATGATGCATCATATAATGTATCTTACATTCACGCATGTTTGTATCTGTGTCTCACGTTCTGCGGGAAGAGCCCAGAACGACATAAACCAGCAGTCTCGCGCCGCAGAGGCTCAAGAACGCCGGCCCGATGCCCCACAGTGTCGCACGGTAGCCTGGGGGGATGGATGGATGGATGGATGATGCACGAAGAATAACGGTCCGGGGCACAGAGGTGACGTTGCATTGACCATCGATCACGACATGCCGCCCAAGGCAATTATCGGTTGCCGGTGACCAGAATGACGTTACTGTCAACACAAGGTACGTATTTACTTAAATTCACATGAGACATGAGACATGCAAGACTGTGGCACAAGGCCTTTTCTCTCTCGAGGTATTTCATCTCACTGCATTTGATCCAGGTTCAAAGTTGGCACCGATCTATCCGCCCATGCTACGCGGATAATGTCCAATCCCATCCAATCTTTTCTTATCCCGTGCTCCCGTGATGTGCTACCGTCATGTAGTACCTACCTGCAAATAGTCCAGCGAGCCCCTCCTCCTTCAAAATCGCCCGAACCATGTCCAAACTTCCGCCCATGCCGGCTCGGAACACTGCCAAGCACAAGGACAGACGGATGCAAGACAACAAGGAGACAATTAGACACATTCAACGTGTACAGCAAACGTCTGCCATAGGCCATGCCGTCGAATGAACGAAAGGCAGGTGTGTAGCGTAGCGGCTATGAGCAAGAAATAGTTGTCGACGACACGTTCGGGGTTAACAGAGCGAAAAGGGTTAGTTGACGCCCAAGAGAGACAAATGATACTGGTATTGAACTAAACAGCGTGCGAGCAAACGTGAGACTTAAGAGAGCAGAGGAAACGAAGACGAACCGCAGCGATGCGTCTCCTGAAAACAACAATGGTGCGTCTCGAAACAAAGAACATGCGTTTTGAAACAACAAAGACAAACGGGGCCGTCGACCCGTCCCGCCGCAACAGGTTACCTGCTTCTTACCTGTATCCATGCCATCCAGCATCCGGCGAGTCTTGATCAAGAACGGCACCCCCAGGAGGTACCAGTTCCCTGAAAAAAAAAAAAAAACACACACACACACGCATAGAAAGCACAAACCAATGGCGAAGCGATTATTGTGATGCTGCCGATATACACCCTCGTCCTCAAAAAAAAAATAGCCGCTTCTACACTTTGTGGCAGTGCCGTAGGATAAACGGCATCATCATCGCGGATCACAGTTGGCCAACGTAAACAGTTGTAAGGGATATAGTTTCGCTTTTTCCTCGCCGCGCGAACACCGTATACAACCAAGCCAGAGCTATGTCGCAGATGTACACGGTCCTAGACAAAACATGGTCATTTAAGACGACACATGGAGTGTGCAAGAGGTACACGAGCGATTGAGCGCAAAAGTTGACAACATAGATCATCCCTTCCTCCCGGCCTTACGAGGTACTTCCTAAGCAACCGAAACGCAGCTGTAAAGGTTCGATATAGTGCTGACAGTCTGCCAAATGGTTTGTTTTTGTGCAACTAAAAGCCACAACCCTGTAATCACTACCACGAATTTATCCTGAACTCTTTCGCTGTGGACAAAGACGGAATTGTTATTAACTTTTCGTAAGAACAAAACGTAAACCCGAGGGGTCTAATGAGTTAACTTGGGGGTTTTACTTTAAAGGCCACCATCCCCCGTAACACTCTGTATCTGTGGGTACAGTAGACACACAAAATAAAACAAACGTCTCACCGAAGGGAAGGAGAACGTTCAAGATCGACGACCTAACCCCTAGGAACAGCCCCGCAAATCCGCTTTGCTTAAGGACGTGTCGCACAGACGCCGTTCCGGTGGCGTACTATTGCCGTTGTCGTTGTCATTGCCATTGTCATTACCATTGGCATTGGCATTGGCATTGGCATTACCGTAGCCATTGTCATTGGCATTGCATTGTCGTCATGTGTTCCATGACACAAGGGCAAGGCACACAAGAGAACAAGAGGGGTGGGGGAGACAAAGAAGACTCAAGGTCAAGAAGATGAGGTTATGTTGGGCGAAACAACCAACAACTACAGCCACCTACCACACACCGCGACAAGCACAGCAGCATCATTTTTTTTTCACCAATATCACCACCGCAACCACCAACAACACAACCAACGACAACAAATAACAACAGAGTGACACCACCAACAACAACAACAAAAGCAGCAACCTCTCGGACCGATTTCGAAGCTGGACCGTTCCCCAATCACCGACCCGACAAAGCAAACATCCTTCCAGCATCATAAACTTGCACCTTCACCCCATCTCTCAGCATTGGCGCTCACCCTGCACTACTACCGTGCACCACGCAATCGAGCTCCAAAAAATCAGCCCCACGTGGTACGGTATCTACCGTACAAACCACCAGCACTCCCGACCCATACGGTTGTATTACCGACCCATATGGTTGTATTACCGACCCATACGGTTGTATTACCGACCCATACGGTTGTATTACCGACCCATACGGTTGTATTACCGACCCATACGGTTGTATTACCGACCCATACGGTTGTATTACCGACCCATATGGCCGTATTATCGAAACCCGTAAGACTGCACCGCTCACCTCGGGGCGTGACTCGGTCATCATCCTCGTCGCCAGGAGGTCGAAGGGGTGAAGTATGCCAGCCCACAGTATTCTCGTGGCGAATCCCTCGTACGTCTGGGCCAAGACCTCCGGGTCGTTGACGTGACGGCTATAGCTGTCCGCTGAAACAGGCGACAACGGGACACCAAAGGAGGGGTCCAGAAGAAGAGTTAAGGGAGGGTTATGTCGGTTGGACCATTCAGGTAGGGAAGACGAAGTTGTTGTTACTATCGAGAGGAAAACTTGGGGAGGGTGATGTTGGGTAGACTATGTAGGGGCAAGATGGACTTCTTGTTATACTAACGACGAAGAGCTCCAGGGAGGGTTGTGTTGAGTAGACTGTTGAGCGGCATAATGAGCTTCTGGTAAAACATCAACAACAACACAACAAGGCACATGGGGGCCAGGAAAGAACACGTTGCTGATCACATCTCTTGTCGTTGTCCTACACAGCACTCATTGGGTTGCTTCTCACATACATGGTGTCCAGAAAAACACGCTGCTGCGCATCTCTTGTCCTACACTGCGCTCGTTGGGTCGTTTCTCACATCGCATGATGAACCTCGTGGTGACTCGGTGTGTGGTTTTCCAGTAGTAGTCCGTGTACAGCAGCTTGCTCCGACGGAAGTACCTGTATGCACACAACCGTTATCGTTATCATTTCCACAGCCAAGACACGTTGTTTCCGCCACACCACCAACCAAACGCGTCGTCAGCTACGCGAGGATATCGTCCATTCCGTTCCGTTGTTTCACGAGCAAGCCGCGTGTACCAATCGCTTTCTACGAAAGAAAGTGGTTTGTGTGCGAACACACCCACCGTTGGTGACATGAGACACCAGGTGACACAAGACAGGAGGATGATGATGACGTCATCACCTGAGGAGGCCGGCAGCACAGACGGGTCCCCACCCTCGAAACAAGGACGACGTTCCCTCCTCGTTGATGATGGCCATCATTGCCTGAGGTTCGCATCGCGTCGCATCCACAAACGAGAAAAAGAGGTTCAACATAAAAGAGAGGTATGCATACAGTGGGACCGACAGAAAGGGGGCCTCGCTACGCATACAACAAAAAGGGTAACGAATGGAAAAGGGCCCCCGACAAACGACAAAAGTTAGACCGACAGAAAAGACGACTCTCGCCAAAACACAAAAACGTACACCGGTAGATGGACCGAGTAATAGGGAGCCACGAGATGATTTGACAGATCTAGCCCGGCCTATGCCCGCAAGACCCTTCAATCCTTCAATCGCGTCGTCCAGAAGGAGCCTATCATAGGCTTAATAGGACCTCGTAGGACAAACAAATGGAAGGAGGCGTTTCCTGTGATGACAGCCGGAATAGTCTTAGCACTTAGAAGGTCCGCGTGAGTTGGACCAGTACGGATGTTGGAATGGACAGAGCAGATATCGGAACGAATAATAACGTGAAGACAAAACAACTACATTAACAACAACAAGAACAACAACACTGGTACTGGTACTGGACCTGATGAGGCAAGGAGGGAAACTCAACATCAAGCTTTTCAACAATTGCGTTTGGTCGACATGTACGGACGGCCTGGTGGAGGCCGGGGGGGGATCTTCGGCTATCCACGGAACCCCCACGTCACCTTTCTGTACCCGATGAAAGGCCACAGCTCCGGCAGTCGACCTCTGTGGGCCACGGCGCTGACCTTGACTTGCCACAGCGGAATCTAAAACAGCACAAGGGTGGCGGCAACAACAATGAAAAACAAATGAAAAGATGGTTTGCAAACCAACATTACTACCACTAACAACAACAACAACAACCAGCGGCGGTGGTGGCAGCGGCAGCGGCAGCAGCAGCGGCAGCAGCAGCAGCAGCAGCAGCAGCAGCAGCAGCAACAACAACAGCAAGGAGGCACCGCAAAAAAAAGCAACAACAAGCAGCATCAACAACACATTCCCTTCTCACCACCGCAAGGTCGCTGACCAGAGATGTCACCACGTCCCTCGCGAACTCCCACAGCTGCGGCTCCTTTCCCATGGGCACCATGCCCCCGTCGTCTGCTCCGAACCTTTCGGAGGGACTGCTATTGATGTCGTTGCTACCGTAAACGTCTTCATCGGGGTCAAGCTCCTCCCCCCGCTGGCTGAACCCACCTGCTGTGCCGAAAGTGTTTCGAAAGTTGGTCGAACAAAGGCAGGGTCCTGTCGATACAAGAATCAGAGGCTTCAACGGGTGCATCATCGGGGCTAAGCTTTCGGCCCCCACGCCGCTTTGGTCACTAAAAAAAAAAGAATCACTACTAGGTAAACCTGCCCATCCCGCTTCAGCCAAAAACAAAGAGAATCACAACCAGTAGACCTGCCAAACACTAGACCTAGACCTAGCACTTTTCCTCTCACTGCTCGCACTAAAACCGGTCTAGCCCCTAACACTAACACCAAGACTAACACTAAGACTAACACTAAGACGCGCTCGGTTGTGGTTGGTGTTGCTTGTGGTTGGTGTTGTGTACTCAGGGAGTCAAACCCGGAAAAAAAATCTAACATTTCCGGGGTTTTGTATGTGCTACAGCTTTCACACAAGTGCCGAGTAGGGGTACTGTAAAATTTACCAGCGGTATGCTTCCGCGCGTGCGCATCCTTCAGAGCACACCCTTGGAATTTTCTATTCTAGTTACACAATGAAATGGCTTCAAAGTATGTGCATTGCAAAACTTGTCGGAGGTTGCCCCTCTGCCCATCAGGGAAAACCCGGTATGAAATTTCCGACAGAGTTTGTCCGCATGGGGCAAAAAGGGGCAACATCCTACAAACCTTGCACTGCACAAAATTACAAGACGTCCATTGTGTAACTTGTGGAATATCGGGTGTCCCGGGTATATGCTATCCTTCGCAGTATACATTGTAGTACCGCCCCGGCAACTTGTGTGAGTTTTGTAACGCATACAAACTCCGCAAATTACAACCAGGTTTGATTTTGTCATCTGTTATTCGCGTTCGATGAGTATCATCTGAGTCCGTTACTATTATTATGTTTGATTTTTGAAAAGAAGTGTACATTGTACGCCTTTGTGGGGTATGACAACGGAACGTGCCCGCGTCAGTTGGACCAGTGTGGATATCAGAAGGTAGTGAGCAGAGACCGGAACAACTTTAATGCGAAGAAAACAACAACAACAGACCACACCAATTGAAAAACTCGCTGACCAAGCGAAGACGAAAATATCCTGTACAGTTCCACGTGCACCCCGTACGAGCACAACGTGGAAGCACGTCGAATGGAATCGCTAGAAAACAACAGAGGACACAAGTCGAAACAACGGTCAACAACAAACAAATAAAGCAGAGTCACTTGTTGTCATCTCTAGAAAGTTCTCAGAATTTTCCGTCGGGGCGCCACCCACCCTCGTTACTGTTTTCTCTGGACCAGACGTGCCCCATGGCCTTCTCTGAATCCTTGGCCAGAGATCCCCTTATCGCCGCGATGACGGCCGAGATGTCAGGTCGAGGAGCCGGGGCCTGTTGAGTAGAGGGTGCATTCGAGGCAAAAGCGTGTGGGTCTTTGACTAGCATGGACCGTGCTAACCAGCTATGTAGCCAATGAATATACTACGACCGTTTAAGGGCAGATGCCTATAATAGCTTCAACCACATACACACAAACGCATCGCTATGGCCATTCATGCATACCTCGTTATAGGCCCGCATGGCATCGTACAGCAGGATGATGTCCTCGCTGATGCGGTCATACGCGATGTTCACAAGCGCCTCCATCCCCTCGCTCTCCCGCTATTGTATGTGTCCAGGCCGCTCGATCCTCCGAGATGATCCTGTCGGACACCAACGGACCACCACGCTCGCGTATGTTTCTTGAAACCGATAAAAAAAACAAAAACAGGAGTGAGGGGGAACGAATAATTGTCCTTAGGCGTGCGATGGGTGCATGCGTGGCGAGGGGTGCGTGGATGGGGGTTCCATATTTCGCTGCGAAATCACGACCAATTTTTCTTGATTTCGACTAATCTGTGGGGAACAGTCCGTGGAGGAACTGAAATTGGGTTGTAAATCGCTGACCGTTACGGCCACCGGCCTGGGGCCCATGGTGTGGCAGTTATTCGCGTCGGCTGACGTGATGCGTAAAATCAATCATCACTCCCGGCAGCACTGTTGAACTATGCTGCTGTTTGGGTTTCCGGAAGGGATCGGAAGAACGCAAGACTGACCAGAGCAGCGGTACGCCAGTACAGAACTTGTGATGTACCGCTAAATTACAGCTAAAGATAGCAGGAGACACAACAGCAGTAGTTGCATAGCAGCAGCAGTAGCAGCAGCAGCAGCAACAGTGAGCAGCGTCGCTTCACCTACAACACAAGAAACAGAGCTTGCGACGTACAGCTAAATACAACTGAAGATAGCACTATACACGACAGCATTAGTATCTATAGCAGCAGCAGTGAGTAGAAACGCGCCCTTTTCGCACGATGCGGGGGGCACACGGCGTGTGAAACCTCTCTGATGCCGCATCATCCGCTCTCCCCTTCTCCATGGTACTCTGCCACAGTCACAAAACATCAAGTGCTTAATCTCTCTTTCTCTGTCTGTGTGTGTCTCGCTCTGCTCTGTCTGTCTCTCTCTTCCTCCCTCTATTTCTCTCTCTCTGTATGTCTCTGTGTGGTCTCTGTGTGTGGGTCTCTGTGTGTGGGTCTCTGTGTGTGGGTCTCTGTGTGTGGGTCTCTGTGTGTGGGTCTCTGTGTGTGGGTCTCTCTGTGTGGGCCTCTCTCTCTCTCCCTCTCTCTCTCTTCCTCTATCTGTCTGTCTGTCTGTCTGTCTCTCTCTCTCTCTCTCTCTCTCTGAATGTCCTGTCTCATCTCTGTCTCCGTCTCTCGCCCTCTCTCTCTCTCTGGTCTGTCCCCTGCTATATCCTTCAAAACAAGAGTCACGCCTCCCGCGTTTTGCTTGCATTGGTCTTCAACTGGAATGTGTTTTCGTCCTTTTACCCTGACAAATCGATAGAAGGATTGGGTTTGGGATTCTTGACTGAGCGAGCACCTGTTCTCATGGTCAGGGTACCCTCACTTTCGTAGCTGGCATTTTTTGTAGTGGTAGCGCCTGCTGCTGAATATCTACCTATCCTAGTTTGCGCTGTAGCATAGTTACTTTCCATTCAGATGCACACAGCGGAGATGTACTCTGTTGGTGTGCAGCAGCAGCAGCAGTACCCCAATATTTCCCGCTGATTTACAGCAGTGATTGTTGCATGCACCACCATTCTTGATACCCGAGCGAAACGTTGGTACAAAGGTATTGATCCATCACCCAATCAAGATTTCGTTCACCTAACGCTTTCCTCAAAACATACCTACTAAAAGCATCACAGGACGGTGAAGGCTCTGCCCTCTCATGCTCAAGTCGGGGAACGCGTTAGGTTGTACTTTCCACTGCCCAGCAGTGTCGTAAGGTGTCGGCAGATATCTACACGTAATTACGCCGCATCAGTCCGTATTGCTTCTTAGATCGTCTGCGTTGACGAGAGGAACAGCAGCACCGCTGTAGTCGACTTCTTCACACGTTCGTCCTCTACGATAATACTGCCTCCGAAGTAAGGGGAGCACGCGGGGCTGGTGCGCGGCTGGAAGTCGCCATGTGTCCAACCCTCCCAATCCTACGCAGTCTAAGAGTATGTGCCTCTCGAAAAGTCCAGTCATTGAAGACTGCAGAAGAGATCTGGTTCCCGCTTCTGGATCGCTGGTCCAGTCCAGACGAAGGAAGGGAAGGCTCTCACCTTACAAGATCCCCGGTCTTCCTTCTCAAGCTCTCCCCCACGCGATCTCCCTCCCTGAACCTCCCTGAGCTCAGCTCCGGCTCCGGCTGTGGCGACGGAGAGGGACCGAGAAAGTGTTGGCTTCCGCCGCTAAGCGCGCGCAGAGCGGGGGGCGTAGTGCAACAAAGGCCATCGTAAAAACCACCAACTCCCTCTCGTCGCAGAAGGGAAAATGCGCTCCAGGCTACACGCGTGCACACGCCATTCCTGCGAAAGCTTTGGCCGCTCTAGCCGTCATGATGCACCGACTCGGAGCGCTCACAGGTAAGACCTTCGTTGCAGAATGCTATCCGCCATCCCAGGAGTAACCAAGTGTTCAGCAGAAGAGGTTTCCCGACACCTAGCAGCCGAGAGCGAGAGAGCCAGCCGAGGCTAAGCCCGTTGTGTCTGAAAAAAGCGGTGCAATTGAAGAGATTTTGACATGTCTTCCCCACACGGCTGATGCCGCCGCCGCCGCTGTCGCTGCTGCTGCTGCTGCTGCTGCTGCTGTTATCCTGGCGTGGGCGCTCGCTCTTGGGTCACGAAGGGCTGCTATGCCTGGCCACGCCGACGGTATCGTTTTCCTTCCAGTCTGCCCCTCCGGCGACTGCTGTCCGAAGGACTGCCTCTTCTACAGCCTTGACGGGGATCATGTCCATGTCTTCACCAGGAGCCCCTGGACAATCGAGGTCCGTCGAATAGCGCGTTGTCAACCCTTGTCCTTCGACGTGCGGGGAAGGGTAATTGCGTGGGCTTTCCGTTGGGCTTTGGCTCTGCCGCCGACCCTTCATGTCTATCTGAACTACTTATGACACACACATCTGATAGTATACCTCGTGCTGTTGGTGCCTGAGCCCAAATCTTTTTTTTTTTTTCTTAATATGACACAACGAAACCATCTCTATCATAGAAAAGAGTCTGAGACAGATTAGCAATGGATTCATAGCGTCAGAAAGTACCTGTATGTCTACGATTTCCCAGACAGCATATAGGGACATCTCCCCTGCGGGTAACAGGCTCAACAAGACAGTTTGGTAGCTGTCTTGTGTGTCTCATATATGTTATGTTGGGAAGGTGCAGATGATATGTGTTATCTTTCTCACCTGTACAGCAGAAATACCTGCATCTTGGAATATGGAAGCTTTGGGGTCCTCTCTGAACCGGGGCGATACTGCCTCTACTCCTGTTACTATTTAGAGTGTACGCCTGTCAATGCAACGTATTATGGTGCTTGGATGCATTTTCGTACTTACTACAGCAGTTAAGTGTGGCTTTCCTCACCCCTCACACCTCACACTATCCTTACATCCTTCCATCGGGCGTAACATGCTGCTGCTGCTTTCGTTTTTTATGTATTCTTGTCAATAATTCTTCTCAGCGCCCATGTGTGTGTGCTTGTGGGGTAATATTGTGAAAGTTGGCCTGTAACCACGGAAGGCCTCCGTGTCGGTTCGACCTGTCGGGTGTTGTGACCAGATACCGGAACGGTTTCTACTGTGAAGACAAAAAGCACAACAACAACAACAATCAACCTAACAGAACAACAACAATCGCACTACAATACTGCTGTGTTATCACCCGTCAGAGATTCTCAGTTCTTTAAGTGTACCGCAGTATGCATCCATTGCGGTGAGGGTTGAGTAACTGACACGTGCTGGATACTGGTATAGACTCCGTTGAGCCTGTTTCCCTAAGCCCTTACGCTGAGAGACCTTAACCTTTCATGTTTTCGTATTGGCCGTTCATGGCACACACACACGCACGGTGGCACAGCAGTGATCTAAGGCTGGTAGCCGACACAGGCGCCACGCGGAGGAGATGGGAGGGAAGACAGGGGCGCGCTCTCCTGCAACAGCTACGGTCGGAGGCTGCAGCGGCTGGCTCGGAGGAGTCACCGAAGGTAATGTACCGTACGGACGTACCAATTATTGCTTCGTTGGTCGTGCTTCAGACCGGCCGCTTCACCGAACATCATGCACATGCCGCACGCACACGAGTTTCGACAACAACGATAGTCCTCACAGCAGCCAGCGACTCGGCTCGACCATCCATGATGTTACGGCAGGGGCATGCAGAAATTGGTGCCTCATGCTGGACCTAGTTTGGGTCAGTAGGTCGGGGAGGGGGGCGCGGTATGAAAAGTTTCCTAACGCACAGAAGAGTCTACGTGGCGTTACTTCTGACTCGCACGTTTGTGAGGGGACACACGCTTTTGCAAGCGCCTGGTTATTTGCTTACGCTGCTCGCTGGAGTAGCCAATCGATCGATGTCCCTCTATTCCGGCCTTGCCACCAATTGTTGACCCTCCCCCCCTATTCGTTTGTTTCTTACCCGGAACCTACGATGCCCGTGGCCATGATCATCGACACGACACGAACACAATCACACACGATGTGGGTTAGCCGACGGAGAGCAGCACCACGGGAGGCGCCGCGGTTGACGACAGTGAAGGGGAGGGGGGGCCTATCAAGCGGTGAGCAAGTTCATCCGCTCCTATTTTCTCCACTGCAGGAGAACTCAGGATACTATTCTAGGGAGAGACGCCGTTAAGATGGAGAGGTGGCCCCGTGTAGCAGAATAATACCGTTTCGATGGAGGGGGTGCCCCGTGATGTGGAACAACGCTTTGGGGCGGGGGAACGCGCCTGTCCGTATCGCGGATGAATGTTTCAAGGCTGTATTCAACAAGAAACCTGTGAACAGGGTTTCTTCTACTGAGAATTTTCGCTGTTCTGTCGTTGGTGGCTGTTTTCCTCATCCTTGCGTCGTTATCCTGTACACCAGACAGACCCTTCTCATGCCCGCAGCAAACCGGTACAGACACAGCCTGTCTACTTTTTCCAGGAAAGTTCCTCCAGTGCACACTCAATCAAGAATCAAGACCATTTTCACCGAAAATTTTGGCTCGGAAAGATGCTTGAGTATCGGAACAGTCGCAATAAGAACAACGTTATTTTTTTTCTCAGGGGCCTCCGTCGGGTGGCACGGTTCTTCGGCGCTGGCAAGAAGATGCCCAACATCAAGGAGCTCGGGCTGTACGCTCTCCTGAGCTACGGGTTCGTGAGCAACGCTTCCTACGCCATCTGCGTGGGGCTGGCCTGGTTCGCATCTTCCAAGAAGACAGGTGTTATTTATAGGGGTATTTTTTTTTTGTCTCTTGGGGATTTTCTTTTTGGGTCTATTTTATGTCTGACCCGTCCGTTGCCTGGGGCCACTCAGTTTACGGATAGGTGTTGTTGGCGCCGTTTGGTTTCGTGCATGCATAGACGTCTTTTTTTGCCTTTTTTGTTGTGTTGTGCTTTTATTTTGGAGGCGGTGTTGTTGTATTTAGTCTACATATGTATCTCAACATGGCGAGGTGCAGCGGCAGCGGCGGCGAGTCGTGTTTTGGTTTCTACTCGAGAAACGGTTCTTGAGCTACTAAGACAGGAATCAATAGGGCTCGACCACGATGACGACAGCGGCATCTGCAGTAGGCAGTTCAGCTAGCTGGAGGAACATATGGCTCCCGCGCGCTACGCTCTTAGCAGCACCCATTCGTTGACTGAGTGGCTTGCACCCGGCCACTTTGCCGTGATGCCGTTCGCTTGGTGATGATGCACTCAATAGTCTTGTTGATACCTATCTCTTTATTGTACTCTTGTTGATAGGTCTATCACCGCTTTCACCGGGACAGTGGCAAGTCTTCCTCGTCAGCTACGCCACACTCTGGGCCATTAACAACGTTCTCAGGTATCTATCTATGAATGAACACGAGCAAATGATTTGCCTCCATTGGTTGCCCAGCGGTCGTGTTCGACCGCTTCTGCGCTTATGACTCATGTGTACCCATCGTGAACCTCCAAACGCCTTTTACAGCTTTCATTTTTACAGTATGTTTGCGGTACTTGGATACAAGATTCGATCAGAAGAGTATATGTATATGTTTGGGGGGTATGCTATTGGAGGTCCAAGTGCGGGGCCCCTCGAGAGAGAGCCCGCCCATATCTGTACTGGCGTCTGGCCTGTTTCATGTGTGCTGGAAGGAGCACTGGATAATACACAAGGGTTTTTATGATCTGCATTGATCCTGGGTAAACTTAGTCCCCAGACATGACTACACCACTGTGGGGTGGGCACGGTAGCCTCCGTTGGAAGGCACGGGGGCCTCTAACACAGTTTGGTAACCCCCCCGCCCCCCCCCCACAACGGCGCCCTGTCCTCGGGAGAGGTACTTTTTGTCGATTGAGCATTGGTAGTTAAGCAATGACAAGCCATATTACGCTATGTAACACCCCCCCTATCCAACCTCTCGGGCGCGGCGTAGAGTGCCCCGGTTCGCGCTGTCCGTGAGCCTGGCCCCAGCGTTCGACCGCTTCATCGAGTTCCTGATGAAGAAGACCGGGAGAGGGAAGGGCGTCGCGACGGGACTCTGCGTCTTCTTGGTCAACTTCCTCGGCACGTTCGCGTTGCTGTCCACCGGAATCCTCCTCGCCTCCATGTTCTCGGGTGCGTACCACTACCTTCATTATGTAATGTTATGTAATGTTAATGCGTTTCTTTTTACTTGTTGTTGTTGTTGTTGTCGTCACATTTAAAACCATTCCTATCTCTCTACTCAGTACCTTCATCTGTCGGTACGGATCAAACACTTGACCGGTCAATTTCCGTGGTCACAGGTTAACTTACCCAAAAAAGGTATCCTCAAATATGATGGGCCCGGAAGGGTCTGCCAATTGGTATCAACTTAAAACGAAGTCATAAAGTAGTTGCTTGACTTTGTGTTTTTGAAGATGTTGTCTGATGTGGCTGGGATCATAATATTGTAAAGAACCACCTCTTGCTTGGAAGTATGGGGACCATGCGGGTATATTGACGTTTGTATCCGAGCTGTATTTTTGCTGCTTCAAACAGAGTGGTACATGGTACACAAACGGAAGTGGTACACAAACAGAAGTGGTACACAAACAGAGGTGGTACATGGTAAAACAGAGTGGTACATGGTACACAGAGTTGTGATTGGACCCTCTGTCTGATGCTAAGGATGGGTGGACTACACCGCTTCTTCTCGGTAGGCAACTCTTTTGGGGCGCCCGTTGCTTGATCGGGACGGATAGGCTGCATACCTTGGCTCCTTGCAATCTTCGACCACGGATGAGAGGGGAGGGATGAAGCACCTTCCCTCTGTGAGATCACAACCTTCCTTCTGTGATATCACAAGACACTCCCCCCTCTACAGCCACAGACGGTAACTTACCTGGTAGTATTTTACGTCTCGCAACTTACAATTCGACACGTTTTTCTTTCCGGCATTGTCGCGATCATCCCTAGCATTCGTAGTTTACTCGAAGTAGTATACCTTTTTGTGTCCGATGTGTTCGAAACTTGTTATCTCTTGCCGGTACCATACAATACCTGTCCCACCTTTTTTTCGTCCGGCGCTTTGACTGCTGCTGTTGTTTTTTTCGCGATTCAACAGGCGTCCCGTTCTGGCCAGCCGCAGCTGCTGCGTAAATAGCCAAGGCACGAGACACCAAACCGCCCAACCAGGCAAACACCAATTCTTGGAGTGGGCACCAAAATAAGAACACCCGCTAGTTTCGGAGACATCATTCTAACGTTTCTCAAAGAAGCTAGCTCATGTGGACAGGCGCCACGCCGAGAGTCTTTTTGCTTGCGTCTTGTCCTGTTGTGTCGAGCGAGAAAAGTTGTGTTCGAGTAAGCGTGAAGACGTTAGATAAGGGGGTGTTTTGTTTTGTCTTTCGTCCTGTCTGTTCCGGGCGCCAGTCTACGCAGTTCGGTGTTTGTATTGTTGTTGTAGTTTTGTGTACTCCCAGACAGAGGCGTTGTGGGCACGTGCTGAATTTCGCATCACGGTGTAGGGTAAGTTCTTTGTTCCTTCCTTGCCCAACTTTGCTGTCGGTGTCAGGGTTAATCTTCGACAATAGGGAATCTTCTTGGTGACTTCCAAGTTTAAGTCTAGTTGAAGAGGTTGTTGGGCGTGCACCGGCAGGGGATGATGGCGTTGTTCGTTGTTCATGTCATCTCTCTGTATTAGAGCTTGTTTTACTTTTGATTGGAGGAAAAACATCGTACTTTGATTGTATAGTGATGGGTTATTTGTCTATTGAATGAAGGTGTACCTTTCAAGAAGCTTGCGATTTATTATTTACCCTGCCCTGCTGGGGACCGTTGGGTTGTGCGATTTGACAGATTTGACTGGCGAGGAAATCGTATGCTACAACGCTCCTGGTTGATCTTGTCCAGGTGTGTCTGTGGCGGAGACAAATGAGACGTCAGGTTGTAGGCTTTCTGCACTGACAGAGACCATGATCAGTCATTCTGTTCTATTCTCTTGGCTGCTTGGGTCGGTTTTCTACTTGGACATGTCTTTTTTCCTCGAGAAACAGCAGAGCGCAAAAGTACATGGACAATGTTGTGCTATTAATATTGTGCTGCTGCAGCGGCTAGGTCGGGGTTGCGCGGTCATCTCGGTGAGGCGTGCTTTCCCCCCCCGCATACTGATGTGTCTTGACCATTAGTTGTTTGTAGATAATAATCACCCGTTCGTGATTGGAAGGAGAGTGCTGGACCATTCTCGCGTGAAGAAATACGGGATGCAGCGCACAGGAATTGATAGTTTTTGCTCAAAGATATGAAACGGATCAGGAGGTCTTCCCGCGAGACGTCAACGTGAGCGCGCCGCAATGGAAATTAACGGCGGACGCAACGGTTGATAAACGGGATGGTGATAAATGCCTACACGGAAAAATATGCCTTGTCTTCCGCACTCCCTCCCTACCTTGGGGGGAGTCCGATGACTGGAAGAAAGCGTGCGTGTTTCTCCGCGTTCAATGTTCATTGATCGATGATAAGCCTAAAGCCAGAGTCGCCGGTATAAATAAATATAGTAGATCCGGTCCCAGATCTCCCCTCGTTGATACGTCACGGCCCGTTGATTAATGTTTGGTAGGAGGACGAAGCCCGTGGTGTTTCAACACTTTTACGTCCGTCCAGGTCCATCCGCGATCCGCACGACGATTGATTGTTGTGTCGTCACGCGCTCTGTGCATGCAGCAGTGCCTCCTGCCGTAATTTTCCTCTTGTGGAAATTTTTATCGTGCAAGGTGGGCCTATCAAATACATCACGTATTGAGGAGGTTCTTTGCTCACAGCAGCTCTCGAAAGATGAAGCCTGCTAGAGCCGCTGATATGTACTCCCCAAACCCAAAAACAATTAATTAAAACAATTAGTTAAATCAAACACCCCATATATTTCATATTTTAATGGGGTCCAGCTTGGGAATTACATGTAAAATAAGTAACAAATTATTTCGCGCGAAGAGCAATACAAATGTGAGGAGGCGTGTTTTCTCAATGCTGTAGAAAAGGACAAAAAAGAAGGACGTTGGAGAATGATGTTTACTCGTCGCGATGATGCTCGTTTTCTATAGTTTTTTTTGCGTTGTACTCCCTGATGTATTTGGCTTGCCGTGAATGTGTTGGGAGATGATAAAATGCAGAAAACGTGACGAACGATGAATTCGTTGCAACCAAGCTAGTATGGGGCACTACGATACTGCTGCTGCCGTTGCTGCTGCGAAGGGAGGTAACAACGGCAACAGCAACGATTGACTCAATACATCACCCAACCTGCGAGCCGACGACGCACCAGATCCTGAAGTAGTCGCTACGGCGAAGCGTCTAAGTTTGAAATATAATCGGTGAATGAATTGACGTTGGCGAAAATGCTTCCGTGTTGATGTGTATTCACATTAATTAAACACCGATCTAGACAAAGAAAAGAAGACGCACCGGCCGCTCGGTATCCCTGTGAGTGTCAGTTGGTAGAATACAGAGCCCTGATAATGGTGTATATTACTATCCAGTACAGGTTCGAGTTGGCGGTCGACGATGAAAAGCGACTGCTGAGTTCTTTTTGAGTCCAAAGTGAAGTAAGCACATGCTAGAAGGAAGGTGAAGTAAACACACGAAGTCTCCAGTTGTGTAGCCTTCCTCCTTCATGACCCAGACTGATGATGCGTCCAGAATAAAATATACCGAAATGTGTAAAATAAAACACTGAATTTTAGAATGTATGGGACAACGGACACAAACAAACACGTGCATCCAGAGCAAAACAGAACAAGCACGAATTCGTACACCCTGAGAAATAACAGTCGTCACACGCAGCAAACCCTTGCCCACAAACAGCAATGAGCGTGTCTCTTGCCCACCACATCCATCCGCAATCTAAACCATGACTGCAGAACCCAATGTGGTTCGTTTTTCTCTCGTCTCGTGTTCCGCGGCTGCTTGTCACCACCGTCCCCCCCCCCCACCCCCCCATCAGTATCACCATCAACACTCCAGCAGTTGGCGCAGCACGGACGACGGTGGCAACAGGCCCCCTGCAGCCCCCCCCCTTGCCTTCATCCCACACCCCGCTCCCTCCCCCTGCTCCCTCCCCCGCTAGGCCAGCCTTCCAGAAGGTTGTGACGCCCGTAAGAAGAAAAGACCAGGCTGCATCATCTCTGCAACACAGCCCTCGAACGCAGCCCAGTCCACTGGGTGTTGAGGGTCGAAACGGAGAGCGGTTGTTCCAGCTGGTACTGCTTAAAGTCCGCCCGTGTTGTTTCCCTGCCGCCAGCAGCGCCAGGTCGTCTCTAGCTTGCGCTTCTCCTCCCTGGTGTGAAACCTCGATTATGGCATTATTTCGCCCATCCTTGCCGTGAATCGCTTCGAGGAAAGCATGAGCTTGGAGAAATCACCAGGTGCGACAGTGGCGTTCGGCCTCTGACATCATCGGTACTTTCATCCACACGAACGCACAACGACGCCTCATCATCGCAGAAACTTCATGTCCCCCCGGCCACTTCCCCCCATAAGCTCCTGGCGAGCCAACTCCCCTCGCCCGTGCCTACCGAGTCGATGGCGGCCGGCCACTCCGGGGTGACGGGGCAACTCGACTCCCGGTCCGCCGTGGCCAGCTGGATCAGCTTCCCGAGATACTTGTTGTACAATAGTGCTCTCTCAGCGCCGCAAGCAAGCCACCGATCTTGATCATCATCATCATCATCCTCAAGCTCCACCAGAGGTTGAACTCCAGCAACATCGAATGCGCTACGGCTGTAGTGCTGGAGATGCACAGAAGCAGGCCAGCAGAGTGCGCGGTAATAGCCCTGTTTTATCGAGTGACCAGCGGTTGGAACACGGCAAGAGTGGTGGCAGCCGTGATTTAAAAACCTTTTAACACTATAAACAGTATATTGGTGAAAGGGAGACTCGATTGAAAAATGGAGACTGAGATGGTTTTCGTCGATTTAGCGGGCAAAGACATCCGATTGGGATCCTTCACGGCGGAACCTTTTTTGACCGCCTTGAAAATGCGGTCATTTTGATGGTACTGCCGTCGTTATCGGACACAACTCTAAATCGTAGTAATTACGAGGCGAAGCCTTTCAGCTTCTAAATCCTGGAACCGGGAGGTTGATATTTCTGTCGCGATTGGCTGATATCTTGCGAGTGGCATGGTCGGCCAAAAAATAACCTGCGTCGAAATGACCGCGCTTTCAAGGCGGTCAATAGTGTTCCACGGTGAAAGATTTCAATCGGACGTCTTTGCCCCCTAAATCGACGAAAACCATCTCAGTCTCCATTTTACAATCGAGTCTGTTTCCATTTCACCAATGTACTGCTGTTTACAGCAGTAGTATTACTGGTGCAACTGACGGATGCCTTCCGTGGTCACAGACCATCAGTCCTGTAAAGGATAAAATTGAAGACCTGAAGAGCAAATTAAGGGCCGAGAATCATCAACGCAAACGCAATCACAGAGGTTTGAAATACCACGGTCCCAGACAGCAGCCCCAGAAGTCGCAGGCGACGAGCCGGACAGACTAGACTATAGGGGCTGACAAAGGGGCTTCGCGTTGTCGGGGTCCCAGCCTGAAATGCTACATACATCAGTGACGGATAAAATGGAGTTTCGACACGTAAGACTGACACGCTCAGATCTGCTGATATTACGGCTGTGCTGTCGAAGGCTTCAACTGCGTTCCAAAAGCCTGCGAATCGGAACCATCTTTCAAAACAGCGGTCGTGGTCACAAACACAGCCTCTTGAAGTACCGGGTCTACTGTTGTAATCTACCGCAGCAGCAACAGCTCAAGCCAAAATATGCATGGCTTTTCCTTGGACGACCCGCACGCAGTCCTCGGGGCTCGTGGTCGCGACTACAATACACCAGTCAGTGTCAAACGATAACGTTCGGGGACGACTTGTACGATTGTTGTAGCAGTAGCGGATTCTGCGATGCCTTTTAGCCCCAGCGACAGACTTGAGCGCACCGACACATACAGTCTACGTCGCTACAGAGCGCACGGTTTCAATGATAATAAAGCATCTCAGGTTGGGACTCCGACGCCGAAAAAGGCACGTAAGTATGTACATCATCCATGTTGCCACGTGCCCGGCAGATTGTACAAGTGCTGTTGTTGTACCGTGGACACAAATTATCGCTGCTGTCGAGCCGATAGACTATGCCCGTACCGCCTTTTGCCTTCAAACCCTCCAGACCGTTTTTGTTGGCGGTACAGATCATGCGTCGGACATGTTGAAATCTTCTTGATTGAACAAGATGACGCTGTCTTGATGTTGTTAGGTCTCAGGTGCGCAGATACACAAATCTAAGAGACGAAGAGCACAAAAAACCATCCTGGCGAGATGACCAACTAAAACTACGGACCGCCCTTCCTTCTCGCCAACCACCTTGACCGCTGCTTTAGCCTCACGCCGCAGGCGTATCCAGGCGTATCCAGGCGTATCTAGGCGTATCCCGGCCTTTCTTTGTGCACGCAAACAAGCTGCTGATTGCAATCTCACGTCAACTGCTGCAGCAGACGCGAAATCCATCCTTGTTCGCTCCTGCAGTCGGGAAGGCAATCCTTGTGCTTGCAAACGGCGTAGTACATCGCCACGCCGTCGGGATGATCGCTCAATCAACCTCGCAAGGATGTGCGGGATGATGTTGGTTGGGATGGTCTGTGTTTGCCCGAATGACGAATTCTGGGCTCTGATTGGCTTGCACTGCAAGAAAAATTGGTTCTGCATGGAGCCCTGTGATTGGTGGGAGATCGAACTGCTCACGGTAGGGCGACCCTGGCGGGCGGGCAGGTGCATATATAACGGACATAACCGATTACCGGATTGACTGCTGGCTAATAAACGAGAAGATGGTGCTGTTCGGACGGGTACTTCCGTTAGCATTGGCGTGGGTGGGCTTGAGAGCTGCCCAGGGACTGGGCAATGGGGTGAGTCGCGGGCGCGTGTTCGTGATGGAGGCGGAGAGATTTCTTTATTCTCTCCATACGCCTCGTTTGAAATCAAGACAAAAAATTGACTCAATTCCAAATCAAGTCAACAGAGTCAAAGCTCAAGAAAGGTCGGTGTTGCAAAGTATCTGATGCGTTGTGCTAATGTCTCTAGAGGACACCCTATAGCAGCGGGGTGTTTGTGTTGGCGCGCTCGAATCTGCTTCTGTGGTGGTGGTGATATCGAGGGATGGAGGGTCGTACTGCTGTACAAAGTATGCATAGTGGCCTACACTCCCCGCAAATCTCCGCAAACATGTACATACAGTATGCATACATACCCACCCGTGTCTTGTTCTTCTACTGGTTGTGCTCGCTGTCGCCGCCACTGTCCCAATCTCCTGAACTGTGGGTGTACAGCGTAGCTGAGCCACTGCTTCCAACCCTCCGTTCAGGGGATTACTGTCCGTGGCGGTGAGCACGGTTGTGTGGCAACTGTTGGATTCCGCTTGGTGCCGGCGCAGATTTCGGGCTGGTTTCAGAGAGTCTGCTGCGACCTTGATATTTTTCAGCTCCGGTAGCAAACATGAACGTGCCGGCACGGACGACGCCTCTTTCATGGTGTCCTCAACTGACGGCAGTAGAATACAACCGATATGTTTGGGGGTGGTAGCTCGTCAGAGGCCGAAAGAGAAAGAAGGTTGACTCAAAACCTTGTTGCTTAGAGAGTGAGACACTACATGCAGCAGGCCACACCATCGCCATGTAGCATGGCCATCAACACATTTCATCCGCGTACCCCCCGGAGGGCCCGTAGACAGTATACTCTACCGAGCACCCCAAACAAGATACTTCCGGGGCGGGAAGGTTGTGTTCTTTCTAATTATTGGATTTAAGGATGAAAATAGAGCCAGCGTGAATTATCACTTTGTCTTCAAACCCTCCTGTATTGGAATATCGATGGGCAAGGGGTGTCGCCTATCCCTAGTTATCGTTGCCATAGGCAAGTCAATGTCGGATCGTTGCGTTACGCGATAGGTTTGGGAATACCAGCATGATGACATAGTGTACTTCCAATATCAACCTATAAGATCGATCGATAGCTGTTGCATCGATCGATATTAAGGCTCACAGTTTTGTCGATCGATTAATTGTTGCTTGGTCGATAGGATGCGTATGGTGCGAGATCGATACCTATTACGTGATCGGGCGCCGCACGTTCAATCAATGATACCTGCTGCTAGACAAAAGGTCGTCATACTGTACCATGTATCGATACCCATGGCGTGATCGATGGTGATGCAACCATCTGTGCCGATCGATGCCTATTTCTAGATCGATATAGTATACGGGGCGATCGGTTATTCCGTGTGTGTGTGTGTGTCTTCATTGTTTGCATCGACCGCGATAACCGGCTGACCAACGAAAAGACGTCAGTCTCAGTGCGGTTGAAAGCAAAATACTCCTACATTTGTCAATGCCATGAACTGGGACCCCACGAGGGGGCAGCATGGGGGAGGCTAAGCTATTCTCTGGATTAAAAGACAGAAACAGTAATAGCAACAGAGGGAAACTGCACGTGTCTACCACGGCGGCTGCCTTGCACTCGAGTTCGTTTTGGAGTGCCTTCACCATCATCCTCCTTGCTTTCACCATCACTCTCATCGTCATTTCTACAGCTATTTTTCGGCAGTTTTTTCTCTAGCCCTGCGTCGTTTGTTGCGGGGAAGGTCATGTGGCTCGAAGCTCTTGCTCTCTTCCACTCCCTCCTCCGTTGCTGTTTTGGTCGTTCCCTTGTCCTCCCGACCCCTTTCCACCTCCTTCGTTGCTACCAAATGGATTCCCCTCATTGCCATCATCATTGTTGTTGTCTGCACCACTACTGAGATCCCAAACTATTGGCCGTGGTGGAAATTGGTCAATCAGTCCATGACGTTTGAAAGCATCACGAGTTCGTATTGTACGAACAGAAAAGGAGGGAGCTTGAAGGTAAACCGTCTCCGAATTCTGTTGGTCATGAGAAGCCTTTTGGTCATGAGAAGCCTTCAGCCGAAGCAAAAGGCTGTTCATCTTCGAAATTCCCCCTGCACAATGCCTCGTATGCCATGTGGTGGCGATAGCTACGATTGATCGAGTTGTGCCTTGGCCAAGACCACTATACGTTGAAAAAGGTAAGGAGGGTGGATCTAGACGGGTTGAAAGTTCTCGCATAGTGATTTGCTTTACTTACGGCTCGGTGATCGACGGCGGGTCGACGGCGGGTCCTGGGTTTGGATCGACTTTCCCTGTCTTTTTTGCCGTCACTGTGTCTGGAAGTGGACGACGCGGCTTGACCACATACATGGTACACAAGCACCGTTTCTCGCACGGCGAGAACGCCACTGCTGCTGAACGGCGATAGGGCACTCTAGAGGAGTCGACCGCGAGAAACACCCGACAACATTATAGTTGATTCGGAAGTGCGGAGCATGACGTTGCATGCATTTTTTTTTTTTTTTCTTCACTTCAAATCAGCGCTCACAGCACTAGTGCTGTTTATTCCAACCCGTGGTCACACAGAAGAGCCTCTCTCTCTACCCTCCCCTCCTGCGGTACTTCGCCTTCAATTTTTAATGCGAGAAGAGTTCAGCACTCTCTTCCCTCTGTGTACACACGAACTAGCGCTATCCACTTGGCCAGGAGCGGAAGCGAGAGAAAAACTCACTTTGCAAGAAAAGCTCGCCTACGCCGGGCCTCGAACCCCTGACCTGACCTCTAGAAGGTTACGAGGCTACCAACTAGACCATCGGGGCGACCATAGTTCGTTCCAAAGAGTGCGGAGCGTGACGTTTGAAAAACACATTAGGAACGCCCGTGAATGGCATCATCAGCAGAAAAAATTGAGCGCATGGGAAAACTGTACCCACAGCCACAGTATTTGCTTCACAATGCTTATTGTCGCGAGGTCATCGCGTCGCGCCCCCGCCCGTCAAACGACTGTGCCGCGTGCACAGTACCAATCATGCGCGCTCGTCTGTGGAAGAAGCTCCTCCTTCTGCTCGCCTTCCTTGATCGTCTCGCGCACAGTCAAACATCGCACAGCCTCGCAGATAAGACTACACCAAGGTATTGAGTCGTACCCAACGGCTCCGAACCCCTCCCTATCTAGTATTGAGGCATAGGAAGTGGGCTGAAAAGGCGGGAAGTGATATCGATAGGATAGGACAATGTTTTGGAACGACCTTTGGCAAAGTGGCAACGAACGATATATGGGTGGTCCTGTGGGAACAAAATGCTCCGTTCTCTCGAGGACGCGTGGCCAATGGTCTTACCGCTAAGGCATGCAAAAGATGAGTACCCCCCCTCCTCCGCGCTACTGTTGGTCCCGTTGTCTTGCCATCGAAGGCCATAAATTTTACATCAACTAGGTTCGGGAAGATTTATGACACCAAGCCGAAGATCAAGCTCAAGGGGTCGGGGTTTAACCAGCTCTCGCTCGAGGATGTTCGGAATCTCAAGTTCGACCCCCCGATGGAGGTAGGGGGGGCTGTCTTGCAGCGGGCCGCGGTGAAGTCGGATGACACCATCGTGCTTGAACTTGCGCCTGGAGGGAGGTGAGTCTGAGGTCCGAGACGGACACAACTACAACCAACAAGATCAAGAGCAGCGAGCGGTGAAATGATGGAAAACAGTAGCCGTAGCAGGGTTAATCGATTAACCCAACATGTTGGATAAAGCATGCAATCGGGGAAGTTAGGTTAGGGTAAGGGATAGGGTCTGCGGTTACCCTCCCTGTTCGAATTCTTCACAATAAACCTTATTTCTCGCGGAGGTGGTCCGAAACGAGAAGGCTTCATATTACTTAAGAACCTGGGGTACAGTACGTTGAGAATTGAGAATGAGTCCGGAGTTATGATAGGAATAATTCCGGCTCAGGCACAGTGAAACTCACGAACTTGACCATGAGAACATATGCTCAGGTAAGAAAAATGTTGCTCTAAAACCCATGCATTAGTAATTGATGTTGGATTACCTACCCTACCACAGGAAATATGAAAGCAAGTCTCGGGGCAAAAACAAAGAGGTTCTTAACCTAGATTATGGCTGGCATCTTCCGCATGCACCAGAAGAACATACACAAGTCGCTCTTCCTTCCACCCATGCCTGACTCCGTAGCTCGATTGCTGCTCTGTTGCGTGCATGCAGGTGGGCGGAATTTCATGGGAGCCTCTTGCTTGTGGAAGCCCAGCACGGCGGAAAGCAGTTGATCACTGGTCCTGTTTTCGTGAGTACTGTACGGGTCTGGATCCTTCTTGAATTGTTTCGTTACCACCATTCCGTGCGCATCGTTTCATTATTTCGGTCTTTTTTGCCTCTCTCTCGTTGTCACTCTTCAACACTAGACTGTTCAGGTTTTCCCTTTGACTTCCCAAAACCAAAAGTTACAAAATGCACCATATGACAAACATGAAGGGGAAACGCACGTATTATTTTTTTTGCCATTTTCAGTTTCTCATTCTTGTCTCGTCGCTCTCTCTCTCTTTATATTTTGTTTCCCTGGTCGCGTCTTTTTTCATCGGTTGCGCGTGTGCTGTGAATATCAATATAGGTGGCATCCGTGATCCCGACACCGACGGTGTACCCGAGCGATAGGATGCTCTACCTCACAGTCAGCCCGCTAGTGATGATCAATGGCACCAACTTCAACACCAAGACCACCGCTCTCTTCTTCTCCCCCCGCCTCTTCGGTGGCAGGGACGTCATTATTTTTGTGAGTTTGGTGCTCGTGTTTATCCTTGGGTAAGGTTGCGGCCGCAGGCATGTTGGCCGAAAACGTGATGGTGTAGCTAGTCGATATTTGATCTTTCTGTCTGGTGACTTGTCATGTATCCGTGTGTATGTGGCACCGCATGCTTTTTGGCTCTGAAAGGTTGGCAGTCAGTGGATGGCTGACCAGAGGGAGATTGGAAAGTGTTGTGACGCGGGGAGTCAACCTCCTCAGAGTGTTTATCCGTTTTTTTGTTTTTTTTCATTTGAAATGTTCTCCCGTGCGGTGACGTGGGGGTCGATTTTGGAATGGACAAAAGTGGGTACATAAAAAAAGATAGAATGATAGGTTTCGATGGGAATATCCACCGCAATTTCGGACGAAAGCGGGCAATCTGAGGCCTTGTGCGCCGTGGAAGTGTGTGGGGTGAAGACGTGCCCGAAAGTTTCGTAACAATTGATGTACGTTCGTGTTGTGCATGGGCCCTGCCCATGTTGCCCAGGCACCGGAACGACATTTTGATTTGTTCGGCCCCGACGCGAGTGGTCGGTCTCCGCAAAGAAAACTTGCGAATAATCACGTTTATCCTCGAAAGGGATGGGTATTCCTGCCTTTCCCAAGCACGGCTGTGTGCAGGTGAAATCATGTACGACGATCTGATCATCTTCATCTAGCTCCCTTTTTACCTACACACTGCTGTACGCAGGTTGAATCATTTACGTTTTCGACGATCTGCCCAACATCATCATTTCGACGATGTTTTTGGCGCGCTGTTTTTTACTACGCCCTGCTTGTTTGCAGGTGGAATCATCTACGACGATCGTGGTGTCCCTCGTGAAAAAGGCCGAGGGCACCCAGTGGGCGGATGAGCCAGGCGCCCTGAAGCTAGTGGCGATCGACACTGGTGCCGGCCGTCTTCTCCTCCGAGAGGACGTGAGTGACTTCTCCTTGCTCGCTCGATCGCTCGCAGTGGTCAAGAATGGTCACTCCAACTTGATGCCCTCGGCGTTCTTGATGACGCTGTTGTTGTTGTTGGTATTGTTATCGTTGCTGATGCTGTCGTTGTTGCTGTCGTTGTTGTTATTGTTGTTATTGATGGTGGTGTTATTGCTGTTGTTGTTGTCTTCGTTGATGTCGTTGGTGACGATCTCGTCTTGTTGTTGAACGTCTGGCGGCAGTGTGGTGGACACGCGAGTGGCCGTCAGGGTGTTTTGGCGAAGGCCCGCCCTGCCTGTGTCACGATCTGTCTCTTGATAGATATCCATACAACCTTCAGGCATTGTCCGTGCCGTCGTTGGTGCCTCTCTCTCTTGATGTTCACTCACTCCCCCTACCGCACATCAAATACAAGGATGATCGCCAGCTTTCGGTGGATGCTTGTGAATCTTTGCCTTGGCTAGCGAAAACCCGTCATATTTCTCCGTCCCGGTCTATAGTCTACCTGGTATGGTATGCGTTTACATGAGATCACCCCCCCCCTGTCGTCGATTCCCACATGCGTTGTTTACCACCCCCCGGCGGTCTTTGGTCGTCGGGTTTCCGTGTAGCTTGGCGGCGTGACGATCGCCGAGATGCAGGCTGACTTGAATAGACACTCCCTGTCGGTAGAGACTCACGAAGAGGTCACCATGTACCAGTCGAGTAAAGTCTTGACCATCGCGGGGCAAGGGTTCAACACCGGCAATACCAGGTTCCGGTTCGGGAACGGCCTCCTGGAGGGGAAGAACTTCACCCAGATCGTGACCCCCGAGTCGGCCACCTTCACGCTGGAGGAGGGGAGCAAGTGGCGACAGGTTCGTGATCGATAACGAAATAACAGATTTGTGAACTTTTTGGTGCGTTGAGATTCGCTGGGCTCTTCGAGTAGAGACTCTCGTCAGCTGTGTCAGCTGGGGAAACGCCAGTAATGGCAGCTGGCAGCTGATTCTCACCAACGCATGCCATACACTTTCATCTTGGCACCGCGCCTTGATGGCACTTCTACTATGCTCTGATGAACTAACTCCGGAGGCAGCACGCCTTGCAGAGACATACGGTAAGTTCCAAGTACCTTGGTTGTTAACAGTCCGATCGGCCGTTGATGCGCATGTTGGCACGCGCGCTCCTGACGAGTTTTTTGGTTGATGGGGGAAGGGCGTGTGGTCATGATCATGGGGGTTCACGTCGATGGAAGATTTGCTGTGCTTGTAGGAGTGATGTGGGGTGGATGAGTAACATGGTTTGGTGTTGTACGCAGGGCGCAGAAGTGCATTGCGCTCTTGGCAACGGAGGCAGAGCACCGTAAGGGGCGGAGGGATGGTATCTCCACCGAGAACGATTGTCAGAGCTCGATTTCTTCACAACCAAGATTGTGCCTAACACAAGTACTGGTGGTTTTGGAAACATCTGGCCGAGGGCTTTCTGTACTAGTATCGGGATTTTTCCGCACCTCCTTGGGTGTGGAGGGATTACACGTAGACTTTTGAAAGTCGGTCTAGGTGGGGGTGCTTTCTCTCCGCCTCATACGGTATGTGGCAACTGCAGACTTGAGGACGAAGAAAGGAAGAAGAGACACCTCGGTCTTTTACGTTGGCAGATTCGCTGTACTGCGCAGTGTTGGTCTGCTCTTGAACGATGGTGCTAACTATCATTTGGTTTCAGAGGCAAGCAGATCGTTGCATTCTGAGTGCATAGGAGGGGGAAAGGTCCCGCACTAAATGGCATGACAGTTTTAGGGCCACCCTCCTCAATACCTAGAGAGCCTACTGCGCAGTACAGCGAAGCTCCCGAAGTAAGACTCAGGTGTCTCTCGTTCCGTCATGTTGACATGGCTGGCAAACTCAAACGCGGCCGGACCGCAGTCAAAAAGGGGTAGCGATGTATCTAGGCTGGCGAGAGGGTGACATCGCAACAAGGAGTGAATAAGCAAGGGTGGGGGCACGAAAGATGACGGATGTATGATATATGTATGATAACGTTTCTCCTATTCTTGGAGGAGTGGAAGAGAGTTGCACCGCATAGAGGTTAAAGTGGCGTGGGATGAAACGGTGAACAAGGTTGGGGTCTGTCTGACTTTGGTATTAGAACGTTCGTGGTCGAGGCTACTTCATTTCGTATAGCTCTCTGTTCATTTTGTTTCAATGATGACAATTTGAAAACCCTGCCATGTTTTTGGTGTACTCCACAGCAGTATTGGTCGGGCGTGTTTTGATTTGTTTTTGTTCTTAAGTTTTTGGGACGCAACATGATGACGGTCGTCCACGTTTCCTTCGTTTTGATATATTGTCAGTCGACCTCCTCTTGGTTCAAGGCAAGGCAATGAAAATGAATGTCTTTACGTGACCCCGCCTGGTTCAACCAGAAATACTGTCGAAGGTGTAAGAGACCAACGTCCAGAACAAAAAAGTGAAAAAAACACTCACACGGTTGTGGACGTGTGTTCGTGTCGATACTGCGTACCCAAAAGGAAACACACCCTTATTTTTAATTGCTACTACGTGAAACAGTTGATATCTTTGTACCTGCTTACATATTGCGTCCCCAAAACTGAAAAAAACACATACCGAAAACAAACACACCCAGCAACAAACAAAATACACCCACCCAAACGAAATATCTTATCCGCTCAATTGTCGAATATTGTTCGTCGAATTTCTTCTTTTTTTTTTCAGGATGCGCCGGCGTGGCCTGCGCCTCTTATTCTGCTAGCGGCGGATGCCGGGGACGGTTTCGTGCCTTTGGGGGCCACCATCGCCAAGACCGGGAGGAAGGTGGCGACTATCTACGAGGACCCTAGGTGAGTGTTGTCTTATGTGTTGCTGTTGATGTTGTCGTTGTTGTTGTTGTTGTTGTTGTTGTTGTTGTTGTTGTTGTTGTTGTTGTTGTTGTTGCTGTTGCTGATGTTGTCTTGTTTTGTATGCCGAGGCAGCCGTCGATATCACTGCCAGATAAGGCCGCTGCTTTTTCGAAGTTTATGTCGACCTGGGTATCATTACGTGTAGCAAGAAAGGTAAGACTTACAGTTCGCGTCCGTGTGGACTGATTCCACCACGCGAGACGGCTTGGCCCTGCCGCGTTATGACACGCGTGCCGTAACGTTGCATATTTACGGGCGTGTTCTGAAAAAAGCACCCTCCGACGCACGTCAAACGGCCGATGCCTTTGGAAACTCCTCGTGTCAGTCGTTCATGTTTGTTTGTAGGTGATCGGAATCGGGTTAGGGCTGACTACGAGGGGTGCTCGGCAGAGTACTGATCTACGGGACCTTTCGGGGGGGGGGGGGGGGCCGGGGAAGGGATTGTGAGTATGAACGGGATGACCTTTCTTGGCTTTTCATGTCTCTCACGATAAACTGGTTCATGCAAATGAATGCAGCGATGTTCAACATGAAAACCTCACGACGTCTCTCACTAGTCTTACCAGTAGGACCTTGAGTCCAAACTCCTTCTCGTTGGGCCTCACACGAAGGAAGGAAGGAAGGAAGGAAGGAAGGAAGGAAGGAAGGCTGCTCCTGCTGCATCCAACACACAGTACACGACACCAAAAACAACCCCCGGCGCGCGTGCGCTACTCTTGATCTGCAGGCTGGAACCGTCTCTGCAGGAAATCGGGCGCACACTGACCCACGACTTCTACCTCGGAGGTACCGGTTTCACAAAAGCGTTCCGGCCAATCATAGCGTTCGAGCCCCTGGCAGATCGACATGCCCCCATCAATCGAGATGAGTTCATGGTACAGGTGAGATGCTTTCATGGTACAGATGCGGGGCGACTGACTGTTTGGGAACCGGGCTTTTCATCGCTAGCAGGTAGTGTTCTTTTTTGATGATATGTGATCTGTATTTCTTTAGCCCGGCGCGTCGTTGTGGCGTCTGATACAAGTAGGTACGTTCGTGACGAGCATGTTCACCGGAGCTTATGTGTTTGATTTGTTGCTGTCGTGCTGTTCTAGTACTTTGTGCCTCAAATAAAAAAAGGGGGTGCTCGGGGATCAATCAAAACACAGGTTGGGAGGATATTGTTACACTACCCATGGATTCATTGGGAACAAATACAGGTAATTGAGACAATTCATGTACAAAAAATGAAGAACAAAGGTATCCGCGGATTGGAGCGAATCCAGGAAACGGCGTTATAGATTGACTCATCGTATTAGATAGCTTGCCTGCGTCGCATGTACTTATCCCGAAAGCCCTCTGTACTACCGCTGTGTCGATTTTTTAACTCATCAGGTTGTCAATCGCACTGCCGTGAAGCTTTCTTTGGCAAGCTTCGGTGGAGGGTGGATGCCTCGGGGGGAAACGGGAAACCTCCGAGTGCGGGCAATCAACACCGGCGGCGGGATGTACACGATGAATGAGGTATGCGTATTATACTATACGGTATACAATATCTAAAGCTTCTTCCGGGTTGGCATCATCCGGTGTTGTGGGTGATTGCGCGTGGCGTGTGTGAGTACTGTAGGGAGTCCATCAGGTTGGGCGTTCTTGTACCATTCTCTGTCGACACAGGAGACCAACAAATCGAAGTTAAAGTTTACAACGGAATTAGCGACAACAAGCGGTGCGATTATCTGGTGTACTGTATGTACGGGTATTGCTCTGGCCGACGAACAAATCAACATGGTTGCTGTTGTGTTGCTTGACGTCGCTTGTTTTTGTTTTGTGTGTTGGGGTTCACTGCATCAATTTAGAGGAGTGAAAATAACGTTTCTTTCTACTTTCCCCCACGCAAATTTCATGGAGTATATGCAATTGAGGGGTTTCAAGCCATGTGGAGCTAACTGCTGGGCATGAAAGTTGTTTTGCTCATGCCTCGAAGTGAAGAGAAAGATCGCCGAACGCTGACATGCTGTAAGCTGCGGCCGCCTCTGTTGTTGCTGTCGTTGTTTTTGCTGGTGCTGCTGGTGCTGCTGGTGCTGCTGCTGGTGCTGCTGGTGCTGCTGCTCGTGCTGGTGCTGCTGGTGCTGCAGCGTGTCGTCGTTGTTGTTGGTGTATGTTTTGCGAGGTACTACATTTCGTGACGTTCTCACCTTCGAGTCCACCCGTAACTCTCTCTCTCTCGTGTGTTTGTTGTTTTTTTGTTGTTTGCTGTTTCTCGTCTGCAGCCCGTTCCTGTTGTCGTAGTTGTGTCCGACGACGATCCCCACAGGAGCGGCATCCACCACAAGCCCGACTACGTCACGCAGCTCTACCAGGTGTGCTAGAGTCGTGGCCATTCCATGCTCGTCTTTGACCCCTGGTCGTTCGTTGTCGTCGTTCCCGAGCTGTGTGCTTGTGAAAGTGGCTGTGACTACTGTTGCCAATGCTGTTGCGTCGTCTTTGTTGCCGCTGCAGCTGCTTGTCTACTTTTTTCCCGAATGAAGCGACTTGTCGGTGGTGCAGTTTGCTTCCGGTCGCAGAGCAATAGACGAACATCTGTCTAGGGCATGCGCCTTTTTTGTTATGTAGCATCGACCGCGCTAGCCGGCTGACCATTGAAACGGCGTCAGCCTCAGTTCGGTGAAAAACAAAATGTGCTTCTTCAGGCCACGATGTGGGACCCTGTGACCGAGCGTTATGGGGGAGTCTGTACGACTCTCCGGATTAAAGACAGATACCGTGGCCATAACAGAAGAATACCCCACGTTTTTGCCTTGGCTGCTACCTCCTTGGACATGAGTGTGCGATCACTCACATGTTCGCTGAAATTTCATACCTCCCCCACGATTCCCTCCCCCCATGTAGAATGGGGTTTGACGCTGTTGGCAAAGAGCTGTAAAACGTGCCACCCCAAATGTAGCTGCCCCCACGCTATGAAACGAACGCGTGACACATGGAAACATGGACGAGTGGAGTGAAGATAGCTGCATAAGAAAACCTCACGGGTTGAGTGATGTTTGAGATTGCCGGACACATAGACGCGTTGAGTGAGGATAGCTGCGTACTGAAACCTCATGGCTGATTGGTATTAGAGAGTGCCGGACACATTGAAGCGTTGAGTGAGGATAGCTGCATACTGAAGCCTCACGGGTTGAGTCTATTGCCGTACACATAGACGCATTGATTGAGGATGGCTGCATACTGACACCTCATGGTTGACTGACGTTTGATATTGCCGGACACAAAGACGCGTTGAGTGAAGATTGCTGCATGCTGAAAACCCAAAAGTAACTTAGTGAGGGGACAATTTGAGATTGCATTTACACCTAGACCCGGTCCCCAACCTGTACCCGAAGCCCCCCCAAAAAATAGAGGCCATGCCCCCCCCCCTCTCCCCCCCACCAGTGGAAGAGGAGGGTACAGTCCAAAGTAATCGCAGGCTTACCCGAGGTCAATGTCTGTTGGCACGGCATTAAAAATACGAGGCCCCATTGGGTGGTGGAGGACTAGAGCTAAGACACCCCGAAGCTCTTCGGTGCGTGATCCAAAACGGATCAGACGGTGGAAGGGGGGAGGGTGTTCGTTGCCTGAAGTGGATCTATAAAACTTGGAGCCACCAAATAAAGCTTATTACTCACCATCGAGCACAGACCGACAGACGACTGACCAACCACGCACGAAACGCGGAGCTAGATGTGCTGTGCGCGCAATGCATTGTTTTCCGATGGGAGAGAGGCGAGTACAAAGCAGTAAGGAACTGTTGGCCAAACGTTCGGCAGATAGGTCTACTCGGAGCGTGTGGGGTAGCCACCCATGGTGGCGCGTACATGAGAAGCTGGAAGTTGGTGTACGCTCCATCCCGGAGTGTGGTAGGATCTTAGGCTATGCAAGTCGTACCTGAACTCATTTTGGTGAAAATGACCTCCCAGGAGAAAAGAATTATGTACCGCGGGACTTCTGAGATGGCAAAATTGGGTGGTCGGGGGACGTCTGGGTATTTACTACGCAGAGGAAGGAGGTGTGAACTTGGGTCTACACTACGAGCCCATGTTGGAGGCGCTATTTAGCGCCGGTGAGCCGGCGAAAGAACCGACAGGAACAGCAACCCCCACCGGACGCTTGGATTGGGAAGGCCGAGTATTCCGTATACCTTCCTGAAAACACACAACAAACAAGCGGCCACCGCCCAGTTGACGTTGAGATCATGAGCATGGTGAAGAAGCCAAAAGGTTGGAAGGAGAAGCTGTGGGAGGGAGAAAGGTTGGAGCTGCTACTGTTTTGGATCCTAATGGACATGACGAGGATAGATTTCAAGTACTGCTGTGACAGGGAGGGATCACGTTGACTAGCAAAAGGGGAGAAGAAAGTAGAGAGTCGAAAAACGTCCGGGTGAATTCACCAGGGGAGACAGCCACGAATGCATGGGTGTTGACGTCGAGAAACTGTCGAACTACGGAAGGAAGTTTGGATGGAGGGTTTGCATCGCGAAGACGATAGAAACAGAGGAGGTAAGGAGGCAAGAGGCGAGGGTGATGGAGACAAAGGAGTGACCGGGGTGGGGGGGACGAGCAGGAAAGTCAGAAGAACGCCGACAAGAGGCGGAAGCCCAGCAACACAGTGAACATAATATCCAACAGGGAAAGGCACAAGCTGAGAGTGGGATCGTTGAACGTGTGCGGGTTTGCAAGGAGTGAGCGCAAACGGTTGGAAATAGTGGACCAAGTAGAACAAGGCGATCTAGATGTAGGGGGGATCCAGAAGACGTGGGAACTGAAGGATGGAGGCATCGTCAGTAAACTAGGGAAGTATCGGTGGGTAGGGAATGCAAGAAAGGGCTTTGACCCCATGAAAAGGGGGGAGAGGGGGGTCGGATTCCTGATCAAGGAACGCTTGTTTGACGTAGTGGAAGTACTGAGTTCGAGGGAAGCCTATGGCTTGAGCTACCTGGGGAGGTGAGAAGGACTTGTTTTAGAGAACGTATACGTACCACCGTCGTCGAAGAAAGTCGCGAGCAAGGCGCAAGAGGCACTCTGGACAAACTGGGGAAGATGCCCAGAGGTTCAGTAGGAAGGGTGGAGTTGTCATGGTGGGCGATTTCAACTCAAGAGTAGGGAAAGCTTCGAGTAGGGGGCAGGCGATCGGACAGTACGGAGAAGACAAGGTAAATGACAACGGAGTGAGAATGCTTGAATTCTCGGGAAGTAACGAGCTGATGGCGTTGAACGGTAGAAGGGAATACGATAAGCCGGAGTTTACCAGGCAAGGGGCAGTTGGGTATTCGATTCTCGACTACATCCTGATACATAGGGGGGAGCACACAGATCCCAGCGTTGCACGTAAGTGCAACAGACGCAGGCTCAACCGACGGTTGATTCCCTCATATGGGCAAACATCGACCGATCTAGGAAGGTGGAGAGTAAGAAATAGAGGAACGTGTTCCGTTGCAGAGTAAAGCGTATGGGAGACGAAGAGACACGTCGTGAATTCCAGAAAAGGGACTGACCGGTAGTGTAGAACAATTCAGGAAATTGCTGAGAAGCGTTGAAGACGGAATGTAGACGTACAAGCAGCAGGGGACAGGGT